CGGAGCTAACCCTTTATAAAAAACACTCTTATTTCCGTACGACTAAAGTTAAAAAATAGATATCCTTATTTCCTTAGGATTAGGATTGTCGTACCGTCTCGTCGTACGATAATATTATCTATATTATTAAAATACGCCCTTAAACGGTTTATATCTTATAATAAAAATAAAAAGGGTATTAAAATATCTAAGATGTAGTAAATAACTCGTCCAATAGGGTTTTTAATCTTAACCGACCTTATAGATAATATACTTTTAATCGCACCGAATTATACGTTTATAGATCCTAAATTCTAATTAATTTTTGTACGGGGGTACTCTTTTAAATATATTTAAAGCTAAGGTTTCCCTATTATTAAAAACTTAGCTACTCCTATATCTTATAGTTCCTTTTAATACGTCGTAAAATACGTATTGTATAATAAAAAAAATTAAATATCGGTAATTTTAAAAATAGTAAATACATCTTATCCCGTCGTATAATATAAAAATATTAATATCGTAAAGTATATTAAAATAAATTCGTTACTATTTTCTTTTTCTTTATCGTACGAAGCGTCTTTTAATTAGCTTTTATATTCTAATAAGTATACCTCGAACTCGTCGTACGAATTCTATTATATTCGTAAATAGTCTTAAAAAAATTATTCTTTAGTCTAGTTACGTTCTTTTATAAAGTAGTTCCGAAACTAGCACCTTACCTTCTTATACATAAAGCACTTCTTATCTAAAAACCCTTAGTATTAAGGCGTTAAGCTAAATAATCGTACGAAAGGTTTCGTATTATTCCTTAATTCCTAAGGTAGCTTCCTTAAAAAAAGTAGTTTTAAATAATTATACGATAGCTTCTAAAAGCGGCAAAAATTTAAAATATAGCGGCGGTCGATTTAATTAATATCGTATAATATAAAAGTCCTATTTATAGCCATTTAAATAGATACCCATAAGTCTAAAAAGAACGCTTTATATATTAACTTTTAAAAAATCATCGCTAACTCTAATTCTAAAACACCGCGACATATTTTAATTACTATTATATAAAATATAACTTCTCCCTAATATCTTTCTCTTAAAGCACGTTATACAATTTAAAATTTATCTAAAAGCATCTCTAGGACCTCTATAAATATCTTATCTAAGTTTTCCCTTTTCACTCGTACGAATATAAATATTATCTAATCGGTCTAGTAAAAATTATAATTAATATTAATATTAAAATAGCTATCTAATATATTATAAATCTAGTCCTATTTCTTATCTAGTCTAATATAATATAAATAAAACTCTTCCGCACGATCGGTAAATATATTTAAAAAAACTACATAGTATTAGTCCTTTATAATTCTAAAACGATAATAAAAACTAATAAATACTTAGACCTTATTATAAAAAATATCGTACGGTTTCCTAATATAGTTCCTTTCTTTTTTCTATCCTTTTTAAAATAAAGTAATCGTAATAGGATTATATAAGCTATTTTAAATCGGTCGTTTCGATAAAAGGTCGTATATAAATATAGGTTTTTTTTAATCTAAGGTTATATAATAAAGTATTTATAAAAAAGTTTCGACTTTTTAAAAAAATTTTACTCTTAATAGGGTTTATTATACGACTCGTCTAGGAAACTCGCTCGGGGTTAATTAATTAGTCGTATTTAATTTAACAGGTTTTAATTTATACGTTTATTTAATTCTTTTTTAAGCTATAATCTATAGCAGCAAAAGAATAAGTATAAGGATTATCGATATACAAGAGATTAATCTCTATATACTTTATTATCATAAAGCCTCCTTTAACTTTTCCTCAAAAATATTTATAAATTATACAAATCGATTAATATAATTCCTATTTATTAGCATAAGAAGATCATTATCTTTAAAGATTCGTACGAGTTTTTTTAAAAAAATACGGTTTATTTAAAAAAAGTAATCCCTTATTTATCTTTTAAAATCCTTAAGGAGCGAAGTTTATAATAATCCTTTTATTAAATTAAGTTAAATAATGTCTATTAAGGCTCGTACGAAATAAATAGTTATCTATAAGTTTAATAAGTTTATACGGAGGTCGACGGGGTTATCCCAAAATACTAAATTAATAATATTAATCTAGTTTTTTAAAAGGATTGCACTCCTATCGCTAACGTCTTTATACGTTTATATCGCTTATAGTTTAGAGTCTAGTTCAGTTAAAGATTCGTCTATTAAAGTATTAACTCTAATCTTTAATTAAGCTAGTTCTATCTCTTTCCCTCTTAATAATTAAAGGTCTAAAGATAATACCGATATGGTCTTAGTAAGTAGTAATCGTATCGAATCGTACGATATCTTATTAAATTTATTATACAATAACGTATACTATTAATTTTATTAATTATATAAAAATAATTCTTTATCCGGTTCTATTTCAAAATAACAATAAAGAGTTCTTTTTATATAAAAATTAAAATTAAAAGTCGTCCTAAACTTTTTTTACTTAGTTTTATTAATAAGGCAACACAATCTCAGTTTAAAGATAAAGCATAAAAAGCTCGCACAGCTTAATCCACGAGCTTAAATCTTATCTTTTCATACTAACTAATTTATAAATTATCCGATATAATTCACTAATTAATATTAAACGGATTAGGGGGGATATATATATAGATCCCGGTGATAAGTTAATAATTAAAAAAGTAATTCTATTCTATAATAATCTTCTTAAATTCGTATAATAAGGAAAGCGTTTCGGAATATATCTACATACGCGACCAGAGCTAGTTACGTATCGGAATATCCACGTGACTAAACAGAGATTCAATTACTCTCAATATACCGTACGTTTAGTCCCAGTTATTATTATTCTAACACAAGCTATTATAAAAAATACGACTATTATCCTATTATTAGCCTTATTATTTTAGAATCGAATTAAGATTTTATTTTAAGCGCCGTTTCCTTAATAAAACCGATTCCTTTTAACTTACTATATTATTTTAATTTTTATTTAGCCGTAACGCCTCTCCTTTTAATACCGAGTATTTTAAATTTACGTTTTATTTTATACGCCGTTTTTTAAAAAGGATATAAAATACTTAATATATTATTTTCTTTTATATTTTGTTAGAGCGGAGTCTATCGTCTTTTAATAATAATTATTAAAACCTTTAATAACATACTTTAGAATATTTTAATAATACTTTTAAACTTATTTAATAAGTTATTAATATTAATAAAAAGTTAACGACCGCCCTTTTCTAATAATATAAGCTAAACCGCTATTAATAAAAAACATAGGGTTCTTAAATAAACCTATTATTTTTATATTTACCTCCGCGATAAGACCCTCCTTTAAGTCTATTATTTTTTTAAATTATAGCTTCTTATTATACCTAATTTAAAAAATCCTTCTCCCCTTTTTTAAATATTATTTTAAACCTATCGATCCTAGGTAGCCTAGAGCCTATTGTAAAAGCCCTTTTTAACTAACTTAATATATTTATAAAAGCTAACGGATTCGGTATTGTAAAGCGGTATAAATATACCTCTTAGATAGGTCGGTTTATATAATATTCGTTTTAATATAATTAATTTAATAAACCTGGTCTTTTAAAAAGCGTAAGTATCCAACAATAAAGGTTTCGGAAGTACGGCTATTAATAATAAATAATTATAAAAGCGTAAAAGGAAAAGAAATAGTTTTTACATTACTTACTAAACCCTCGTTATAATTAATATAATTATTAACTAAGCCTTAAGGTATTTACCTACCTTTTATACTAAAAGCTTACCTAACCTATTAAGGATTTTATTAAAAATATAAACCGTCATATTAATATTTAAGTACGTAACGTCCGTATTATTATATAAAAATAATTCCCGGATTCTATACTTACTTAGCATAATATTTATAACGTTAAAGCACGTTTAAACTAAGAAAAATTAAATAGTTATTTACTAACGGCCGTATTAATTAAGTTATTTAATAAGTAATAGATTCCTTATATTATTAAGTAGGCTAATAATAAGCCGGACCGCTTTATTAAACTTATCTAGACCTTTTTTTATTATTTCTAAATATAGAAGCGATTTTTAGAAATAATTAACTTCGATAATACTTATAATACTAATCGCTTTAAGCTTTTATTATTTTGAATAACTAGGTAGACGTGCTTTAGATCTATTTATAATATAATATTTAGTTTTATTAATAATAAAAGGTTAAAAAGCTTCCGATTTCTTTTTAAAAATATAAAATAACTAATTAAATAACACTTAATTCGTCGCTTTATAATTATTATTATAAACTATAATAAATAGATAAAAGCTGTACTTAGTAAAGAGTTTCTAAATACTTAGTAACAGCTCTATATTTACTATATTAATTTTAATATTATACTTAAAGTTAAATAAAAGTAAATTAAAGCCGGTAGTAATAATAATAATAATAATAAGTCTAATAAAAAGGATCTTTATTTAATAATATAAATAGTAATGGAGTTTAGCGAAAAAGACTACGTTTATATTAATACGATAATAAATTAAGCTATCTCGTATATTTATTACGGGGTATTTATTATATAAAAGCTTATTATTTTTATTAAAATAAAGTAATTTTTTAAGAAAACGTGGAAAAAGCTTTATAATAAGTTCGATAACTAACGCCCGATTTTATAATATTTATATTTAATATACTTATTTATAAGAGTATAATAAGCTCGCTATTTTATTTATTAATATTAAAATTTTAATATTCGTATTACTTTTAGTATTAAGTTAAGTAATAATAATATTAAAGGCTACCTTTTTAATAATCTTAGTTATTTATATCGGCTTATCGACGTTATATAGGATATAATTAATAATTAAGAGCTATGCTTTTACTAAGCCTATATAGAAGATAAAATACTTACCGGCCGGGATTATCTCGGCCCCCGCTTAGAATATTTTAATAAACTTCGGACTATAGTTTTATTAAAATATTTTAGATTAATTATTAAGTAATACCGACTTATATATAAAGTAATGCTTTTTAAAAAGAGGCCGTTTTTATCCTTTATTAAAGAGTATAATAATAACTATTTTATATTAGTTAAGCTAAGTATCCTATATTATTATAAGATTTTTTTAAAGATAACGGAATTATTAACTTTTAATAAATAAAAGGTTTACCTGCGGTAATAATTTTAAGTAACGTCTTTTTTTAATCCTTATTATTAGATTTTAAACTTAAAAATTATAATATTTTTTTATAATAAATTAAAAAATATAGTATAATAAGTTTTTATAAAGCTTACGTTACCTTAGCAAGGCTAATAATCTTAATATTAAACTACCGTAATATAAAATAGTTAAGGCTTAATCGGCCGTAAGTAAGGCCGCCTGCCGGGAAGCCGTAATAAATTATTATTAGTTAAGAGCTTATAAAGGGCCGGCTATTTAATCTCTAGTTAGGCACTAGATTAATTTTAATAGTAAATAAAAAGTTAGTTTAGTATTCTTAATAAAGGAAGGATAATAAAAGGTTATATAAATAAAAGGCCGTTATAACTTAATATTTAGAAGCGGTAAAACGAGTAAAAAATAATATTAAATAATAGCGAATAAAAGAATTTACGATTATATTATTTTATTTATTATTTAAATAATTTATTATAAGTTAACGTTAAAATTAAAGTAAAGGTAATTATCTATTTATTTTTTTATTACCCTTAAGGATTTTATAAATACTTTATAAGGAATAATTTAAGGTATATACTATTTAGTAAGAGCTTTAGAATTATTAAGTTATCGAAATATTATTATAAGTACCTTTATTGTTTTTATAGGAATGTATTATAATTTTAAGCTAATTACGATGGTAAATATGTATGCCGTTGTAAGGTATATGCCTCTATATTAATTCTGTATGCCTTTATATTAATTCCCTAAATAAAAATAAACTAAATATATCGCTTTTATTAAAATAATAGAACCTATTAGGATATTCGTACCCGGTACGGACGATCGAGGATCGGATTTATTTTAAACTATATTTAAAAAGTACCGGATTTATATAAAACTATTCGCTTTAAAAAAAAATAAGATTATTAAAATATAATAATTAAAATTTAAAAATCGAATTAAAAAAAAGAATATAATTTAAGTTTTATTTACTATATTTTATAAATTAATTTAAATATAACGAACTTAATAAGTATATCGATAATAGATTTAAAAAGGGTTATATTAAATTATTATCTTTTTTAATAAAAGTACTAATTTTTTTTATATTTAAGAAAAATAAAAAAAAGTTTAGATTTATAATTGATTATAAAAGACTTAACGAAATTATTAAAAAGAATTACTATTTATTACCTTTTATTATAGAACTTAAGGAAATATTATACGGAGCTTAATAGTTTATTATAATAAATTTTAAAAAAGTATTTAACTAAATTAGAATTAAAAAAAAAGATAAATAAAAAATGGTATTTTAAATTTGTAAAAGATTTTACGAATACTTAGTTATACTTTTTAAATTTATTAACGTACTCGTTATATTTTAAATAATAATTAATTACGTATTTAAAAAATATATCGATATCTTTATAATTGTTTATTTTAATAATATCTTTATTTTTTTTTAATTTTAAAATATATAAAAAATACGTTTATATAATATTTTAAAAATTTTAAAACGTAAAGCTTTTCGCTAAGCTTAATAAATACGAATTTTATATATAAAAAATAGATTTTTTTAATTATATAATTATATTAAAATGAATCTATATATAGGTATTTAAAATAATAATAGTTAAGGATTAGCCTATACTTATTAATATTAAAAACGTATAGTTATTTTTAAAATTTATTAACTTTTATTAACGATTCCTTAAAGACTATATTAATATTATTAAACTTTTTAATAACTTAATAAAGAAAAATATAACCTTTATATAGGATAAAAAATATAAAGAAGTTTTTAATAAAGTTAAGGATTTAATTATTTTAGAATTAATAATTATAATTCCGGATTTAAAAAAACCGTTTAAAATCGAGACCGACGCTTCGGATTTTGTTATAAAAGCTATTTTAAAATAACAAAACTAATAAAAAGTATTTTACTTTTATATATTTTATTTTAAAACGTTTAATAAAATAGAATTAAATTAATAAATTTATAATAAAGAATTAATAATTATAATTAAAACTTTTAAAAAATAAAAACTATAGTTTTTAAAAATTAAATATAAAGTTACTATTTATATAAATTATAAAAACCTTACGAATTTTATAATAAATAAAAATTTAAATAAATAATAAATTAGATAAAGCGAATTTTTATTAAAATTTAATTTCTAAATTATTTATTAAAAAAGTTTAAAAAATAATAAAATAAACGCTCTTAATAAATAACTTAATTATTAAATTACGGTCCTTAAAAAAATATAAATAATTTTTAAATATAACGATAACAATAATTTTATATTTATTATAAAACTTTTTATAATAGTTAAAAGAGTTAATATTAGCCTGTTTAAAAAAATAACTTTTAAATTTATTATAAAAGTTTATAATATTTAAGTATACGGTTATTAAAGTATTATAAAAATATAAAAACGGATTTATTAATATTATAATAAAACTATTATAAAAATAGAAGTCGTTAAGGCTATTAAAAACTACGATATTTATAAAAAAAATAAAAATAGCCTTTATAAGCCTTATAAAAAGCTATAACTTTTACCGGTATTATTAAAAGTATAGTATTTAATCTCTTAAGATTTCATTATTAAATTATTAAAGTTTAAAAAACTATTTATAAATATATAATATAATAATATTTTAATTATCATCGACCGACTTATTAAGTTTATTTATTTTATATTATATAAAAAAGTAAATAATATTAAGGAATTAATATATACCTTTTTTAAAATAGTTATTATTAATTACGGTTTACTTAAAGAAATAGTTTTTAATAAAGATAAGCTATTTACCGTTAAGTTTTAAAAATCTTTAATCTCGTAATTTAATATAAATTATAAATTATTAACTTCTTTTTATTTATAAACCGATAGATAAACGAAAAAAATTAACTAAATTTTTAAAATATACTTCTGTTATTATATAAATTATAATTAAGATAATTAAATAGTATTATTATTAATAGCTTAGTTTATATATAATAATATAATTAGTAAAAATATAAAAAAATCCCTTTTTTATTTTAATTACGGATTCTAATTAATTATATATAAAAAAGTACGTAAAGGACTATAGGTTATAAAAGCCGTAATAAACGTAAATAAACTTAAAAAGATTTAAAAAAAAGCCTTTTTAGACTTTAAATTTATATAATAACGGATAAAAAAATACGCCGATAGATTAAAAATTAATAAATTAATTTTAAAAAAGGGAGATAGTATATACCTTTTTTATTATAATATTAAAATAAAACGACTAAACAATAAATTAAATTATAAAAAATTTAAACCTTTCGAAATTATTAAAAAAGTTTTATTAATTAATTTTAAATTAAAACTTTTAAATACGATACGATACTACTTAGTTTTTTATATTTTACTTTTAAAGCCGGTATTTAAAGGCTTATATACTAAAGATCGTATTATTATTAAATTTAATAAATTAAAATATAAAATTAAATAAGTTATTAATTATTAAACTAAGGAAGGACGTAAAGAGTATTTTATTAAATAAAAAAATTATAGATATGAAGATAATATATAAAAACCTATTACGAACTTTTAAAACTTTTAATAGCTTTTTAAAGAATATTAAAATTAAACTTAAACCTAAAATTCTTAATTATTATAACGTCTTAATTAATAATACTAAAAGTATTATTAACTTACGCCTCCTAGGCTACTAAAGAAATACTCTTAGTATCTTTAGGAAATTCTTTTAATACGATACGACTCTTTTTAAATATTATTTATTTTTAAAAACGAAGGCGTTTTAATTTAAATAACGACTTATTTAATTTAATTTAAACTTTTTAATAAGCCTTAGCTTTTTTTTATAGCTTTATAATTTTTTTTTAAAACCACGACTTTTTTATTTATTTTTTATAATTAAAACGATCGGATTTTATTATTAAACGATTTATTATATTTATTAATTAAGATTTATAAAAAACAGTCCTTAAGAAATTTATAAATATAAATAATATTAATAAAAGTATTATATAAAATATTTAAATAATAATATATTCCGTAAATATTAGAATTAAAAAGAACTAAATAATAAATTATTTAAAAACGATAATTCGAATACGGTATTATTTTTATACTTTTATTAAAGAAACGAATAATATATAATAAACGACGACGAGATATAGCTATTTACGATTTCGATTTTTTAATTCGATTTAATATAGTATTAATATATTTTAATAAAAATACTTAATAATTCTTTAATTTAAGAATAAATAACTTATTTATAAGCCTAGAGATTAGATTTTTAAAAGGAGGAGTTAATATTATAATTTAATATGTATTATTAAACTAAGGCCCTGCTTTATAAGACCTACGGCGGTTATTATATTATATATATAATAATAAAAACTTAGACGGCCTCTTTTAAAATAAAAAAACTATAGATAAGTTATATAATTACGATTATATAATAAAATAAAAAATAAACGCTTATAAATAAATAAAATAAACGATTATAAAAATATAAAATAGATAACCGTTTAATAAACGGTTAAATAATAATAAATAAGATATTATAAAGGATATATTTATAATTAAGATTTATATATAAGATAGCCTAAGCTAGGCTCAAGGATAAATTTCTATAGCTTTTTTAATAATTAATTTTTATATTAGATTTAACGATCGCTTTTAGTTATTTTTATTAAAAACTTATTTAATAAAACTACGATTAATTATTAAAACCTTATTTATTTTACGATTTATAAATAATAAGTTTTATTAAAGCTATTTTTACGATGATTATTGTTTATGAGTATCGTAGCCCCGACTTTTATTAATATAAACCTTATTACGATTAGCTGGCCGTAACAATAATAATAATAAATTACAAAAAAATATTTAGCTTTACGAAATTAATTTTAATTTTATAATAATTATTAATAAAATCTTTTATATTAAAAAAGGTTTAATATCTTAAAAACTAGCTTTACGGCGGTATTATAAAAATAAAAAGTTAATTTTTTAATTAAAAAAGCTAATTAAAATAAAATTTATAAATTAATATTATAAAAACTTTCGTAATAACTTTATTTATTCCTAATTAGGAAATTAGTTAAATTTATTAATTATTTATTAAATAATTAAATATAGCGCAAAAAATAAGGTAAATAATTAAATACGAACCTTATATTTAATTTGTTTGTTTGGGTATAAGCGCTGAAAGAACTTTGAGCCGGTCGAGAAGCGCTAATCGGATTGCAAGCCAGTCATTGTTACATCGGCTTCCCCTTTGGCCACACAATCGGATTTCCCTGGAGTTTTCAGACTCCTTAACTCTTGGCTGGATGAGTGCATGAGAAGCCACTTGGATTCATGCTCATATGTAGGGAATCTTTTTGTGAAGACAGAGTTTGCTTCACCTCCGAGACTGGTGCGAGTCGGCAAGGACTGAGAGAAAATCGTTCTGGTGAACTCCGCTGATTTGAAGTGAGATGAAGGCGGTTTAGGGCTTTCTTACACCGCACTAAGTCACTATTGGGGAGATCCCAGCCATGTGTCGCAGAGGACAACTGCAACTCTACCGCAGATCATATCAAGTAGTCTTCGTCACGATGAATAATCCCCAACATTTCAGCATGCCGTCAAGATTACAAGAAAGCCTAACACGAGGTGGCTCTGCATTGATTCCTTGCGTATCGTTCAAGACGATATTGCCGACAAGAACCGCGAATTGCCACTGATGGACATCATCCACTCAATGGCTATCTGTACCATTGTCGCATCTGGCTCGAAGGATGGACGAGGAGATTTCTTCCTACCTCGAGGCGCCAATCCAGCGTACGAGTATGGCCTCATACGCAAGGCCTTTGACCAAGCGGAGGCCAAGTTCTCCATCACCTGTCAACTCTACTTGGCGGACTGGAATCAGCCAATCACCAGCGGCTCTTTGTTCTCACGCGGTTGGTGTTTCCAAGAAAGGCAACTTTCAAAACGAGTCATTTACTTCACAAAGACTCAAGTGCTCTGGGAATGCCGCACTTCGATAAGCTCCGAAGCTTATTCTAAGCTTAAATGGGTAACTCGCACAGATGCTCCTTTCAAGATGAAGCCATTACGTATGAAGAGGGCCGGATAACCGACAGAACGATGCTAGCTGAAAGCTTTGAGCGGGTTCGGCCGTGGCTACAAGACTGGTTGCGCGTCGTCGAAGCCTACTACTCTGGGAGGTCTCTCCGCAAGCCGGAAGATCAACTTCCCGCGATCGCCGGTTCAGCGGCGCACTTTGAACATAATATCCACAGGCCCGACCCAGACGTTAGCTGTTTTGTAGCTGGGACGTGGTATTGCGATCTGGAGAGAGGACTGTTGTGGAGGAATAGAGGTATAGAGGTCTACGAGCAACGAGTTTTGGCCCGCACTCCTCAAGATCTCCGTCACATTCGATCCCGTCCCGATAGCACAGTCTGAACAGATATTCACATGGTTACCGTCATGGTCATGGATATCTATCGATGGCCACGTGCGATACCCATGCGCCAATAGACGAGCGGAGAAACCTCCGCCAATTGGGTTTCAATATTTGAACCCCAAAGGCCGAGATCTAGACAATCTTTCAATTCCTTAAAAGCCTCTGTCCTGTCTTTAGCCGCATGTCCCTGAAGAGTAATTATGAGTTTGGCGAGCTCGAGTGGGGTGTTCTAGGCATTGAAAACTATGCCGTTGAGATCGTGATATCCGAGAAATCTCTCACCAAATACTCGGTTGATAAAGCTGGGGTCCCCAAGTGGTATTCCATGCTCAAGAAAAACATCAGTCCCATCAAATTCACTAGGCGTTCAGTCCCATCGGCGGGTGGCGTCGTCATCATGGATATGAGTCTGTATAAGCTGCCCGAGATCAAATTGTCCTGCTTGAGACTTGGCACTTGGACAAGTTTGCCGAACAATGACGACTTGGCTGAGATCGGGCTGCTTCAGGTGGAGATACCTTACGGTTCAATGGCCAGAAGCATTCTCAGCTGGCACTCAAGGCCTGGTCTGGTGGCACAAAGAGTTGGATTATTCGAGATTGGCCTATGGGACAAGAATTGGACGAAGACTGCCCGAGAGAGAAGCTTTTATGTCACCTAGTTCCAGTTCCCTAATTTACGCCTTGTTCTTTGTCCTCTGAAGAGATAGAGTCAGTCGACTTTGATCTGAAGGCCACTATTCACTGCCAGCAGTTGATCATATCAACTGTAGAGACATGTTTGAACTACAAAGAAGGGCAACAAACAGTCGGAACTAACACATTATGATTTCAATGTTGATATTCTACTATTTCTTCTACCACCGAGTTAAAATTCATACGCAATCGTATTAATCCTCCTTTCCGTCATCAAGCATCCCCGCATGGTACTAGACAGCATAAAATCAGGCACTAAGACATTTGATGAGTCGTGGAAGCGATAAGGGTAATGCCAGAGTGTCATAAATACTCTCGAAATGATCTAGTCACTTGAAAAGTCACATCCCATGGCAATGTCGACAGCATTTCAAGTGGTGTCGAAATTAACATAATTTCGTCTACCGCATGTCTGGCCCAATGGCCGATCCTGGCCTGCTGTTTCTGGTTGTGTCTGTTTCCATGTGGATTGGCCGCATTGATTATATTCTGCATCTCTTTCTCCTCCTATTCTGTCAAAATGACGTTCCTCGACACCCACTTCTCTTCCAGTCTCTTGGTTTTGGTTGTGCCGTGGATGGGAATCATTCGGTGAGCATCAACCCGCGCAAGGGCAATTTGAGGCAGGCTGCATCCTTTACGGTTGGCGAGCTTCTTGATCTCGTCAACGATGGCCTTATTCTTGTAACGGTTTTTACCCTGGAACTTGGGACCTCCACGTAGTGTCTTTATCACTCTGTCGTTGCGTGAACTTCGGTTTGCTTGTTTTCACCTACTTCCACGACGAAAATCGGGGAGGGCAAAGTCGTCAGGGCTCTTGTATTAGAAATCATCAACAAGCCACCCGTGACCCAGTGGGCTGTAAGCCACGTATGCCACTCCAAGCTCTCTGGCAGCTTCAATTAAGCCATCGGCCTCGTGGAGGGTCTCGAATGCCGAGTTCTCAGCTTGGAGAGCATCGATATTGGCAACTATACGTTGTTAAAGGTCAGAGCATTTTCCAAAGTGCTACCAACTAGAGTTGGCCTCGCGCAGGGTTGCCGCTGATCACTCAGAGAGGCCAATGTACTTGGTCTTTCCAGCCTATCTGATTTAATTGAGCGTCGTGGTCGATTCCTCGAGCGGTGTGTCTTTAGACCAGTAATCCAAAGTTTCCTCTTTCTCCCTTTTTTTGGTTTCACTGATTGCTCACTAGGGTCGATGCGGTGAAGGTAGTAGAGGTCAGGTGTGAAACCGAGCCTCTCGATTGTGTGCTCAATGCACTCCTTATGTGGGAAGTAGAGTTGGTGATACCGCTTGCTTCAAAGACGTCGAACTTTGTCGCGAACGTTATGTTTTCTGGTAAAGTCGCCTAAGAGCTTCTCGTCGACACCAGCCTCGTAAACAACCTGGTTGAAGATCTGTCGCCATCAGCGTCTCAGAAAATGTGCGCATTAGAAGGAGTATTGCGCAGGAATAAAAAGGAACGCTTTTTTGAGTTGCAAACCAACAGATGTGTCCCAGAGGGTACATCCCAGCTCAATCGCCTGGAGAAGCACGTGCTCAGCTTCTTCGAGGCTTAACTTGCTTCCCATGCCGAAACTCAGGCCCATGGCACCGAAGCTTGGCGATTTGACTGGGATGTCTTGGAAGGTAAAAGTCTTGGCCATTTTGATTGTGTTTGACGAGATATTCTAAACGTCTATCTCCAGAGGATCAAAGTGATTTGGGGCTCCGAAAATTGAACAAGGTCTTGGACACGAAGCCGTTCAAGTCATGTTGGTGAACGCATTCCCTGTGACATAATTGGAGCGAACGCGATATGGCGATGGAGTACGGCGATAATATGCGACTAGCTGACAACTAGAATGTGGACCCAACGGTCTCCGTCCCCTGATTTGGCGCCACGAAACGTTGCCAAATACTTTAGCCCCGTGCTCGAGCCGATAAAGGACTGTTTTTCTACTTACACGGATATAATATACTTCCTCCGAGAGCCTGGATTTAAGCAAGCAGCCGTCGACTCTCTGAAGGTGTCGTACAACTCGCATTCGGCCTCGTACTTCAGTAAGTGCATAAGTCGCCTTACGGCTTCCCGCCCCTTCCAACGAAGTCAAGTCAAGCGAGAGGAGGAGTTCCGCCGATGTGTTCCCTGTTGAAGCATCGGGAAAGCGGCAGTCAACGCGAACTGTGTGAAGTTTTCGCAAAGGGAAAAGCATGTTCTTGCCATGTGGCTTAACGAACATCCTTGGCGATAACAAACTCTATTTCATAAGCTTGTCAAGGCCTATTCGGCACAGTTCCGATCTCCCTCGCCAGCGGAACGACTGCTAGCCCTGTCAAGGCTCTGGCCATCAACATCGCCTTTGTTGACGACTTTACCCTGTCGGAAGACGGCAAGCCAGCCTACATGGCCACGAACGGCCCTAAGGAGGTTTTTGGGACCGATTTTATGCGAGGAGGAAAGACTGTCGTTGCAACCCCGCCTATTCTGGGCGCTGCGTCTTTGGTGGCTCTCGACTTGAACCATTCGCAAAGGTAATTTTTGTTACGGGCGCCGTATCATGGGGTAATGGCACCAGTGGTCATGTGTCCCGTCTTAATTTGAAGAGCTAGACTTTGGCGTAAGACGCCACATGTTGCACTTGTCACTCTTCCGCATCGGCCACATTCCGAATGCCGATAGACCTGGTGATGTAAAGCAAATGGGGTATTATTCATGAACAATCTCTGGCTCAAATATTTTCTTCCTCTTTTCCCACCAACTATGCAATGGTGGAGCTCCCGAGCACAACATATATATCGGTGTGTCCAACAAAAATCGATCAACAACTTCTGGTGGCCCGACGTCAAGATCTTCGAAGCGGAGAAGCCGCTCGCCGTATTCGTTCAACAAGGATGAAAATTTCGGTCCTATTTCAGGGACTGCCAACAGCTTGTAGCCAACTTCCAGTAGACCATGTCCTACTATAGCGTCGATCACGGCTTTTGCTGGGTCAACTAGGGGAGCTTGTCAGACTCAAGAATGCTTTGAACAATAGATCAAAAACTTACTCATGCCGAACTTCGCCATCTCTCTTTCAGTTTCAATGATACGATATTTGGTGAACAGAGGGTCCGTAGTCTCCAACTTTCGTGCTTGGATGTGCATGTTGTATAGGTTCACCTCGAATGGTCCGCCATGCGTGACCCACGCCGTCCAGAAATCCTGTTTGTGAACCTTTTCCACATATTGAACCATATCGTTGAAGACGGCCTTTTCAAAAATCCACTCATTACTCTCCAGGTTCCAAAAGTCGGAGCCAAATGAATCCAAGGATCGATCGAGCACATCGGCCGCACTGCCAATTATTTTTCGCATGAAATCGTCATTCGTCATCTGCGACCTCCATATTGTGGGCGCCTTCACGTAGGTGTCAAACGTTTGGCGCATGCTGAAGGGTTGTACTGCAATGGCCTCGGAGTCAAGCCATAGTGCATAGTCGTAATCAAGATCCACCGCCGCCGCCGCCGCCATCTTCTTGATCGTCTGGTACTGGTACTTTCCACGTTCTTTCAGTACCGCCGAGGTATCATTGCCCATTATCTTGCCGGTGGTCATGGAGTGGAAGACCGGGGGAAGGATGTCGAAAAAGTTGATTATGTTGATGTTCGGTTTCGGCCCGTTAATGTTCATTGGAGGTGTTGGGAAAATGCTAAAGGATGGCCCGCAAGATTTCAACTTCTTCATCGCATCTTGGAACATTGTGACCTCGTTCGAGTCTGACACGACAACGTGGAAGTCGATATCCGAGTGGTCAGTGCAAAGGCACATGTACGACTGTAAGAATTCGATCGCAAGCGGAATGTGATCGCTCTGGGTATCATTCTTTTAGCACTTGGACTCTAAACGTTCCCAATAAGAAGAACTTACATATGTCGGGAGAATGATTGCATATTTCAGTTCCTTTAACCTCTCTGAATCCAACGTCTCATTCTTGTTGGAACCATGGTCAAACATCCCATCCTCGTTACTTCCACCACTCTTAATTGACGAATCCTCAGGTTTCGTTTGCGTGCTGGTCTTCTTTCCCGAAGACTGAATCGAGTGGATGTCGAAGTGCGGGAACGAGTTGTAACTAAAGAAAACCACCAATATCACAACGCAACTCAGACAACTCCAGTACAACACCCGGACCTCTCTGACCAACATGAAAAACGGCTTGCTCGATATCATCGTTTGCAGTCGTCCATTATTACCTGGCCAGGGGTACTGATTTTCTCAAACTGGGACGGCGTTCTCTTCCACTTTATACCGTACCTGCCAGAATGCCTCATCTTCCCATAGCCCGCCTACCGGCCTTTAGGTTTCACGCAGCGTGGTCCGGCTATCTATCTGTTACCTGTCGAGTCCTGCCAATTCTCTTGTCCAGGGTAAATGGACTTGGGCGGAAGGGCTATGCCTTATCATCAATTTATCAGAGAGGCCGCCATACATTTGGCTGCTCGAAATTGTATATTGCTGCTGGGTTCAACTCATGATGTTAACTTTTCCGCAGAAACTCTCGCATTCCGTTGCAGCCGTTGGGATCTGTCCCTGGTCCTTCTAGGCCCTTATAATTGGCTGTCCCCATTGTCACTTGTAATGAGTGTGAGGTGGAAGGATCAGTCGGGTGGGTGAGCACCCCCCGATCCTGCAGTCGCCTCACCTTACCCCCCCTTTGGAATCTCGGCCTACCCCCCCAGGCCCGTGCACTGTAGTCCACCACATTAAGTGAATCATGCCAGAGACATGTAAGTATCCTGATAATAATATAGACGACTAAAGATTAATAACAGTTATAGTTGGTAGTTAGGATTCGGGCTTGGGTTAGGGCTCAGTTAGTAGAGGATTTAAGAGTATATTCCAAGACTTCTTGTGGACATTTTGATAGAAATTGGGAGCACGTATTCATCAGAGTAAGAACATAATAGGAACATGAATCTATTACTCATTGTGGGTGGATAGGGGTAGGTCGAGTTCCCGGTGGGCGGGTGGGGCAGAGTCGGTGTGGGTGTTTATAGTGATAATAGAAGAAGAACAAAACATAAAAAAACAAACATAATAAAATAATTGAAGTTTGGGTGAGTGGGGGGGGGGGGGGGGGGGGTGGGGGGGGGGGGGGGGGGGGGGGGGGGGGTAAGTTGAGGTGTATCCGTAAACCGCTCCCCCGATCCAGAAGCTCCGCGGCACCCCTGCCAGATAGGTTGAACTCACCAGGTGTGACAGAATCTCTACGGAGTACCAAGTTAGACAATACAACCCATCTCCATACCTACTCATTTCTTGGACCACAGCTGCGCGGACTTTTCTATGAGCCGGTACATCGGAACTCATTAAATTCGCAGTCTGTCGTATGGGTGACTAGGGTCACCCCATGTAACGGGGTGTCCTTTCGCCGTACCAGGGTTGCTTTGGCCGATTCTTACGGGGCTTGCTAGGCTTCAGAAAGCCCCTTCCGTGGCTACCCTGTCGCTCAAGTGCAACCTTGGCCTCCCACCGGGAAGCTTATCAAGTTGTCTGATACTTGAATCCGCCAGCAGGCGCACCCATGCTTGTGAGGCTCAAGTTACCAGCCAGTTGGCCCGGTTGACTGGAACGGGTGGTAGGTGAACCCCGTCGTCCGTGCAAACTTCTGCTGTAATCTCGACAGTCGTCGGAACAGTTTTGTGCTGGTACCGAGATCACTACAACGCAACCCGTGGTTGTAATTTAATGGCGCATATGAGAATAAGGCAATACGTCCCTGGTAGGATGCGAAAAGCTCCACAGGTTGGGAGATGACGTGGGAACGAGGCAGAAAGTGTCGCAATCTCAAACCGACGCTTACGAGATGAGATCCCGACCCGAGCCGACAGTGGCCACTCACTTTCGACCGATTTGAGTTTCTGCTCGCCGTTTGGTTTACTCCGCCGGCCCTTGACACCCTGGGCCAGATGGTCCACACACATTCGACTCACATGTGGGCATAATATCCGTATAGTCTGAAAGTATCAGCTCCAAAGTTTGTGGTTCACCACTATTAATACCGCAACTGGAGAGAAGAACGTTATGATCCACCCCTAGATGCCTGCAACTCGTAGTGTCAATTAGAGAGCATACACTTTACTACATTGTTCATCATGATTTCAGAGGTCTTCCCCACCTTTGCCAACTGGGCGGTCGCGATCTTCCTTAACCTGGAGATAGCGCTCATTTACCGACACACGCTCATATGCATCGTAGCCACCGGCCCTCTGATACCAGTAAGCAACCACAGCATAGAGGCACTTGTTTCTGTGACCCCAGTCGTTGGGTTTGTACTTTTCGACGTAGGCCTCGAAACTCTTGTGAAAAGGTACGTCGTCGCAAACATGGAAGCGGCAGACCGATGTGTGCCCGTTTGCATCCAGCTCAATATACGGCTGGCAGGCATATGCGCTGTCGAAGGTCGGAAATGGCGGCTCGGCCGCCCACGCATAGCCCACGTAATCTTCAGAGCCGGTGCCGAACGTTGACGGGAACTTTTCACCGTCGACGAAGAACTTTTCGTCACCCTCGCCCCACCACCAGTCGATCGACTTCTCGCTGCCGACGCCGTACCACCAGTCCTTTGACGGGACCTTGGGATCTTTCCAGTGGTTCCACACGTGCATTTGCACGCCGCAGAACCGTCCGGGGCCGTCATCTAACATCAAGAGGGGCCAGTCGATCTCGCGGCCCTCTTTGATGGGCTTCTCGAGGAAGGCATCCCGGTGCCACTTTGCGTGGAAACGAAGCATGTGTTTCGCGGGCTTTTCCAGTGGGCGGTGGCAGATGGTGAAAAACAACTTCTGCTCCTTTTTGCCATCATTGACCAACATGATCTCGGCGCGATCGGAGAATGGCATGAACCAGTGACTGTAAAACCCACCACCGTCCGTCGAGCCCTGAGGCAAGGAACGATAAGTCTGAATGCCAGGAACGCTGCCAAAGAAGTCACCCAGAGGCGCCCAGACGCTTGGCGACTTGTCGTGATCCCAAGTGATTTGGATAGCGAGCTCTCGAAGAATTTGAGCGGTGCGGTGAGAGTCCTGGACGAGGTCCAACGGCACCACGCGCATGCCAGTGATTGCTCGGTTGCCAGTCAGCTCCCGCACAGTATGGCTCTTCCCAGGTTGGATGGTGACAGTCAATGTTTCCAGTGTGTCGCCTTTTGACCGAGGCAGCGCTGACCAACCACGGCGACTGAGTTCGCGGTCGGCAGCAGCCAACGCTAGACAAGCCTCTCGATCGAAATTGCCATTGAAGTGCGGCAGTGTTGTGTGTTTGGGAAACGAAGTGTAAGTGAAGTGATAGTATGCCCCCCAGCCAGGTCCAAGGCGGACCTTGGCGTACTTGTTGTAGGGAATAGGGATGAAGCAATTTCGACCCCTCGACAGGGTAGGCGTTATCGAGGGAAAGTTGTGTGGCATCCCCTGAAACCGATCGAACAGATCCCGAAAAGGCATGTCAATGACAGGTTTGACGTGATGCGCGTCATCGATGAAGATCTGGATTCGGCCAACATCAGGCATGGCGGACCAGGTCCGCCAGATGACTCCAGGACCCCGCTGCTCAAAGGCAACTGCCCACTCGCCTTCTTCGCGGATGATGCCTCGCCCATCGTCATTGGCGTCCCAGTCGATGTACTTGTCTTCCTTTGGGTCATAGCGCGAGGCCCGGTCATAGCTTGACATACACCCGCCGCGCTCTCCGGCCAACGGGGGTTCGGCGAGACGCTCAAGGTCGTGGAGCCGGCGGACGAGGTCAGGATAAGTCAAGTGCATCTTGAGCAGTGTTTCTTTTTTTGGAGACCAATAAATCTGGGATGCGGAGAGCTGAAGTTATTTCTTCGATGCCACGATGCTGCAATCCCTCGACGTCTTATAATGTTGGGGTAAATCTTCGCATGACTAAGGTAATGTAGCTTAGAGTTTGGAGCAAACCAGGATCGGCCCCTTGATCTTTCTTCCCCTCGTTTCTTGGTGCTGGCAATGAAACATGTCAGTGTCTTCTAGTGGTCTCGCAAATCCTCTCCGCGCGTCATTAAGTCTGCCAATCATCGGCATATAAGTTAGTTCTTCGCATCCGTTCTGCATCTTACATCCGATGTCTGATATTTAGCTTTAGCACTAGGGGTTCTCAGACTCACATTGCAGCATTGTTCCTGCTAGACAACACTATAACACAGTATAACGCAGCGTCACTATTAATTACTTTGAGGACGTGGTTCTTCCGTCAGATATTGACCACGTCATTGGTCATAATTGCTTCCTCCTCAAGTTACATACTCTAACCAACAATACCGACAAGAAGTGGTTCAGTTCTTTTCCCTATTTCTTTCATGTTTTGGTTTTTCAACTCAATTGCGAGGCCATTTGGTGGTGTTTCTTCCAACGCACCACCGCCCATCCACACGGAATTCCTTTTGTGCGAGAGTTCTGGCTGATAATGTGGCAGTCTAGAAATCGTCAAACTCGTCATATCTAAAATTCAATACCAAGCTCCCGCTGAAATCGTTCTTTCACGTCCTCAATGACCTGGCGAGCTTGCCCCAGAACGTGTGGCGCAACCTGGTACCCATGAAAGTGAGCCGAGAGAATGGAGATATCAACAACCCGAACCTTTGGCCACCTCCTTCAAAAATTATTTTCAATCATTGCTACGAGACCCCGAATTTTATTCGGGCTCTCGTTTCGAACATCCTCATGCAAGGCGGCCAAGTCTCTGTCTTCCCCGTCATGTACAAACTCGATGGAAGGCGGCCTTGTTCGAGATTGGCTTGAAGAGGTCCTCGATCGATTGCTATTTCAGAAGCTCCAAGCGCCTGAGCTGGCGAAGAGTATGGTGATATCGTCTAAATATTGATGAAGGGACAAGCCAAGTGCATGTCTCGAGAGGATTGATAAGAGAGCTCACATCGAGATTCTCTGAGCTTTTCTTTTTCAAATAGCAGAACCGAGCTTTCCTATCCAGGTAGTAGGACTGGGTCAAAAAGAAAGGCTCGAGAAGACGTCAGGTCATTAATGACCATGGCCTTGACAATTGCTCAAAGACTGGAACGATTGCAAATTATCCAACGGCTTTTGAAATTGAGGTCAGGTCAGATTCCAAAGATTGCTATTTTTTCATAACCTACCTACAATCAACTAGGCTCGATAGAAATAGTGGCTTCGGGGGCGTAGAGTTGAGTCCATCTCGGGAAATAACCTCGATGTCGTTCTCAATCGTAAATAGACTCGCACGGGAATCCCCCAATGTTCCTGGTAAACAACACGAAAATAAGTAAGAAGGTTCACCATGTTTGATTCTTTTCTACCACTTGTCCTTGTCAAGTCTAGCGGTAAGTCGCACCAGGTACGACATGTCTACCAAGGTACCTTAACAACTAGTCAGTCCCTCGATATCCTACAACCTGCAATCCTCCTAGTGCTCATATCCGTGATTGTCGCGTATGTCATCACCCTTCGAATGCCTTTTATAAAATATCTTCATGTGTTTGATACTGTTGAACTAAACACAAACGGATGAGGAAGGCCGCCCATTTGCTATTTAGAGAATTCCCATCAGGATCCATCAGGATAAGGAATGCAACAAAACAACGCCAAGTTCCTCCTCGAAAATCTTTGCGAAACGCGCCACGACACCACGTATGTCATCCTTTTCTTCCGTCATTCTATACCGAAACCTGAGAACCACCTCATTGATGCTCCGAATGTCAAGGACCCGAACGCGCTGGTACACGTCCCGGCATTGTCCCACCAGGAACTTGAGCAGCTCCCGAATGATTCGAACAGGCCGCCAACTGTACGAGACGGGTCCATGCAACACACCGCCCCTCAGCACCCGGGGCGCATGGCCCAGGTCAAAGTCGGGGTCGATGAGCTCAATCGTCTCGACAGTCTTTTCAAACTCGCCGTCGACGCCGCCGCACATGAGCTCCAGGAGGCTCGGCACCTTCAAATGCTTCACCGCCCTGAGCTCAGAGGCCTGAAGGGGGTATGCCATCGCGGAGTCGACCCTCAACCACCCCGGCCCCCTGGTGTGCGAGGTAAAGGTCTCCAACGTGTCCGCAAACGGCGCAAAGGCGTCGTAGCGCAGGACGTCCCACCCTGGGCCGTCGTGCCGGAGCGTCCGCACGTTTCCGTGATGGCCAGGCTGCGCAGCGCCGGGAAGCGCCCGAAGAAGTCACACGCCACCGCGGAATCCTCCCTCGGGTTGAGTCTGCCCACGGCAAGGTCACAGTCGTGTAGACACAGGTCCGTGATACGCGGCAAGACGGGCATCTTTGCGGCCTGAAAGTCATGAAGGAAGTTGTAAAAGCCCCAGAACCCCAGACGCTCGAGACCGGAAAGCTTGGGGATGATGCGGAACCAGTGGGCCAGGGGCTGTGACGGGATCCTCTTTACGGAGTTTTCGTGGCCGGCCAGCTCGAGGGTCCTCAGTCCGGAGAGGTTCAGCGGATTCATCATTGACCATTCCCCATGCTGGAAATGGTCGGAATAGTCGACCAGCAGATGTGTGACCTTTTGCTGGAGCTTGGCACCCGATCCGGCCAGTGTGTTCCTTAGGCTGCGCGACTTCGTACACCAGCGGTCCTCGAAAACGACGATACGCTGGTACAGAACTTCGGCGCAGATGTCCGAGAACCGGCGGTTGACCCGCGCCATGTTGAGGATGTCATTTCTTCTCCCTGGGTCCTTGCGAATGCGGTGGTGGCTGAAGGGTACCAATGGCCGGTATTGTCCAACGTTATCTGAAGACGCTCGCTTGTATTCTAGTTCTTTGATGTCGCCTGGAGAGCGGGGAACTATGTTTTCGAGGTTTCCTACGATGAGCAAAAGAATCTCATTTGGGAGGGAGTCTATGGACATTGCGGCCATTGATGAACAGTTGCTGATGAAACCTGCTGCCTTCCTGGCTGACGAAGCTGAAATCTCACGGGTTTCTAATTTAACTCAGTGTGAAGATTACTGTTCAGATGGATGTGTCATTGAAAGTACGGAAAAGGTAGCGGTAAAGATCATTCTCGAGGAGGCAAACATCTAGTAATATCAGCAAATCGTTTCTCCGATAGCAATCCGTCCGTCAAAATATGCTTTCGAGCGACCACGTTCATGCTTCGCTACCCTACCCAGCGTGGTACCCAACTGAGTAGGAGAATTAAAGGACATGGAAGGATAGAAAAAGGAGGGGGAAAGGGTGAGAGCCGGGGGCTTGGAGCGAGGGTGTGAAGAGACGAACGGGACCGTGAGCGAAGCGACGCAGAACCTTCACATTCTCTGGTCGATAAAACTTTCGATAACATGGCAGTTGTTCAGAGGCATTCGAGCGTTCAAATCCACCACTCTATTGATGGCAAATGTCTTGCGCATCTTAAATCCTTCAGACCATCGCGGGAACTCGCAAGGTTCCCCACCAAGACGAACCTCAATAAACCCCCGGAATAATAGTCCACTTCCTCCCAACCTTCTCCTCCCCAAACTGCCCAACGTACCACCGCCGCCCGCTCCTCGCCCTGGGAAACATGACAAAAATCTCATTCAGGAAAAACGCCCTGCCCGGAACGCTCCAACCGCTCGCCATCCAGAACCCAAACCACTCCACCCACTCGCAAAAGTAGTGCGGGTACAGCATATACCGGAACAGCATCGTCTCGGGCAAGCGATAGTGCTTGTCCACGCCCTTGACCATCTCCTTGCCCTCTTGTCTCGATTGCTTCGCAATCTTGTCCTGGCGCCGCTGCTCCGTCCGGCGGATCTCGCGCAGCTCCTCGTCGTGGAAGTAGTTTAGCGTCAGCCCGACGTAGAAGACGGCGATGCCTGCGACGAACTGCGCGATCCCGCCGCGGCCGAGGGCAGAGTCCCAGGCTGCGGCTGTCGTGGGGCCGTAGGCGGCGAGGTAGCTTCCCAGGCATGTTGCGTTCATGAGCTGGAATAGGACGGCGGAGGCGGCGACGAGGACGTGGATTGGGGACATGGAGGGTTGGATTATCGGGAAGAGGACGGCGCGGTAGGCGTAATGTATAGTCTGGTTGGTCGTTACTCTGTCAGCCAAACATTGGTCTCTATATAACCTCAAGGGGAGGCCGGGGATTGGGTGGACGTACGAATAGACCAGCTAACACCTTATTTTGCCAAGGCAGATCCTCGATGCCGACCTGCCGCGGCAGGATATTCATAATGTACAACAGCACCGTGACGCCCGGGATCTCCATCAGGAACCACGCAAGGCGGCCGGGGATGTTGAGGCGGCTCGTGACCGAGGTCTTGCCCATGCCGTACCAGTTGATGACATACTGCAGCGAGCCGAACTGTACCTCGATTAAAGATGTACACACAGATTAGCCACAAATGTATTGATCCAACGGCTCAAGGGCTGGTGCGTACCACAGGCCAGGAAAGCTGCCACACCGTCGTGATGGTCTCCCAGTTCTCCCGCGTTGGCGGGAGCCACCCCTCGATCAGTGACATTCCTGTTCGTTCTCTTATGTATCTGAGACGATTCAAGTGTAGGCAATTGGGAGAGACAGCGCAAAGGTTTTCAAAAGGAGAAATCAATTGAGCAAACCCTCATGAATACTGCGACGTGTGATATGCTTTCCCTCGTACACCAAACCCCCGCTGTGAAATGTTAAATGGGAGCAAAATCAATGACAGCAAGGGAAAGTGGTGGCGGCGGCTCCGGGTGCCGTTCTGCGACGCGCTGGGACCCCTGCAGGTCTGCCCACGTTTCTCCAGACCGCTTTCCCCATTCAATCAAGCTGTTGGTGGGGGTTCCTGAGCTGCTCTTCAAATCGGGAGGTTCCTCTGTGCACTCTCCACAGCTACCCCTTGCAGCATCCACCACAGCTCGAGGAATATGCTAAGGAACCTTTTTTTTTTTTTTTTTTTTTTTTAAAGAGGATTCTCACACAATTCCGAGGGCCCCCCCCCCCCCCCCCCCCCCCCCCCCCCCCCCCCCCCCCGCCCCCCGGCTGCCCGCCCCCCGCCCGGCCGCCCACCCCCACGCCCCCGTTTTTTTTTTTTTTTTTTTCTTAAAGAGGGAGCTCACACAATTCCGAGGGACCCCCAACGTCGCCAAATATGATCTCGCATCAGCTATCGATCCTATGAGAGTCATGTTTCCAACGCCGCCCGCTGTTTAAAAAAAAAAATTGTTTGTACAGTTTAAAAAAAAAAAAAAAAGGCTGGTGCAACCCTCCTCTCCTCAGCCCCCTTCTCTCCACCCCCTCCCGACCATTCCAAATCCCCCCCAACCCCCCCACCCCCCCACCCCCCGCACCCCCCCTTCCCCCCCCGTCTCCACCAACCAAAAAAAAAAAAAAAAGGCTTGTGCAACTCTGCTTGGCAGAGCCGCAGTCTGTCCATGCCCTGCAGGAGATTTCAAATGACACGAAAACGCCCCAATCACCAAAGCGCCGGAGCGCCGCTTTCGCTCACATTACGATGCAATCCCTTTCTCTTCCTCCTTGCGAACTTCCCACCACTCCGCCAGGTCCAAGCACACGCCCACGACCGCTGCCCATCCCCGGCCTCGAGGACGACAGTGAGTATGACGGCCCGGCCCCGCCGTTACCTTGTCGGTTGGCAGGACTACTCGCATGATGGTGAGGGTGCCCGAGAGGTGGTTCGTACTTGGCAGCCGCCTGCGCCTGCTCGTATGTCGGCGGGGCATCATCCAGGCCTTCGTCAGCCGGTCGGTTCACACCTTGCCGGCGTGCGGGAACCGTGGGAGGAACCAGCGGCCGCACCATCTGAGGCGGTTGCCCCGGCTGGCGACCCGACGTCGGCGGTACCGTAGCGTTGCTAATGTTGGTGCTCGAGTTTCGGCGGCTGCCGCGAGAAGCCGCCAAGTTGCTGTTGCTGTTGCTGTGTACGCCGGCCCGGACCGCCTGCCTATCAGCTGCACGTCTGCTCGTTGGGCCTTGTTGCAATCGGGCTTGTTGCTCAATGTACTGCTCGCTAAGCTGGCTCTCGCGTCGACGGGCCGACTGTTCTGCCCTATGGCGTTGTTCCTCCTCTTCCTGCAACTGAAGCGCGAGGGCGAGATCCCGATCTTCTTGCTCGTGGTTCGGCGACAGGGGCATCTCGTCACCTTGTGCTGCCGCCTCGAGATGCTTGTTGCGGCCGCGGCCGGGGACAGTAGTCCAGTCTCCATCATTGACGCTACTCGTGTCGATTCTGGGTCGGTTTTGGGCATTGTTTCTTGAGGTAGGTTGTCCCCGGGAATTGCCCTGCGGCTGCTCTCCGCCCACAATCCTAAAGTCACCGGAATAGTATTCGGTTCGTTCACCGTTCACATCAGCCAGGGATTCCCACACAATTTCATCGTGGGTGGCGTATCCTGCGTCAGTTACAAGCACTAGCAGCTGCTGCGTCGCAGGGTGTCGGTACAATGTTGAAAAGTGATCGTTCCTGAAGAGAATGGCAAAAGAACCAGGCTTCATGGCTTTGGTTATAACGTCCAATCCAGATGGCGTCAACTGGGTCGCTGAAGTCTCCAAAAATGCCTTTATCGACTGTATGTCTGAGTATATCCGCTCTTCCTCTTCTGTCAGCTCTCCCAACCTTTCCTGCAGCTCCTCGTCTCGGAATAGAAGCGTTTGCACGTCTTCAAAAGAGGCGGCCTGACGCTCAAAAGCAGAGTAGGCCGGATCATTTTTAGTGGGCAGCCACCCATGGATAAGCGGAATCGCAAAGGCAGCGTACAGCGCCATCTCTCTGGTATCTTCGAAAGTTCCAGGTATCAAGTCGTCCCGTTCGGTCGGGTGTAGGTGAGTCAAGGAGGTGCGTTTGAAGGCCTTGATGATTTCGGGGGTGGGAACGAAACGTGGGTTAACGTTCATTCCCGTGTGAAGCCCTTTCAGGAAATCGTACAACTGGGACACATCAGGCAAAGCTTCTTGTGTTCGCCTCATCAGCTCATCAACGACAGCGTCCAATAAATAACCGAGGCTGATTTGTTCCCGGGAGCGGAGGACCTCTATCAAGGCCGTTTCCGACTGAGATGACGGGGTCGTTAGTGTAAGCGCGTTGACCAGAGCAAGGAGCGGGCAAGGGCCGTTGGCATTCTGTACGAGAATTGGCGAGACCCGAGGACTCTTCTCAGCACTGTGGTCATGCCAACGGACATTCTTGATCTGATATGTTTCGGCTTTGCCATCCACAGGCCGCGGGGGTTGGCGCGGAGGCTGCGCTTCATCATCGTTCCGCGGGGGCAATGCTGGCGCTACCTTGTCGTCAGTGACCAGTTCAGACCTCTCGCGAATTTGGTCTGGCGCTTGCGATCTGACTGGCGGCGGGCCAGCTGGCGGCTCCACGTCGATGAGGTTCCAATCATCCATGGGACCGTCTTCGACTGTGGGAGGGAGACCAACGGGAGCGGGGGTTGGAGCCTTCCCCTTGCCCTTGTTCTGACCGCCTAGGTCGTCCCAGGCATTCTGGTCCGCAATTTCATCGCTGGGAATTGACGCTGCTGGCAGTTCTACTGGCTTCTTTGTCTGGTTCTCTGGCAGGTCGTCCCATGCCGGTGAGGTGGGTTCCGAGGGGAGCGAAAGCAGTGCAGGAGACGTCGAAATAGCGGGCAATCTTGGCTCTTGGGTTGCAGCCCAAGCATCGCGCTCGGACTCTCCGCTGTTCTGAGTACGCAGAGGCTGCGGGGCGTCGGCCGCGGCTGCTCTCTGAGCGTGATGATCGAGGGCCGGCTGCCATGGATTATTACTGATCTCGCCGGTGCTCATCTGAGAGAGTGGTTGCGCCGGGGACATAGTCGGGGTACCGTTCGCCGGCGGCGATGTTGGATTGGAGTCGTTACGGACGTCCTTCCGCTTAAATGGGTTCGTGTCGGAGCGTGTACGTGGTGGTCCTGGCCGTAACACCAGCGGTACATCGTTAAAATCGCTCGTTGGCTCGCCTGCGGTTGAAGGTTGGTGGCCAGCGACGTCATTCCAAACTCCGTTGGTCATCTCGGGCCCCTGTGCCGCAACCCCGCCAGGCTTCAGAGACTCGGGAATGTCGTGGGGTATCGTTTGTTGGCTTAGAGCAGCAGCGCCCTTTTGCTGCGAAGCATCGTCCCAAACGCTGTCCACGTCAGACGGTGAGTCTGTTGTCCTCCAGACCTCCTTTCGCATGTCTTCAACACGCGGGGCAGCGCTGGTCTCGAGGGAGGTCTCGTTGAGGACGGGCTTGCGGGTAACCATGTCGACGAGGGTCCCGAGGTCTCGGACTGGAGGGGTACAGTGGAATGGGTTCGTTGGGATGGCTGACCCTCGTCGCAAGGAAAGAGAATTAATGAGAGATCAGGGTATGCTCGGTTTGAAGAAGATGCGACGGTCGAGAGAGCTGCGAGCGAGGTTGGGAATGTTCAGCAAGCGGCTGGGCAAGGTCGAGAGCGAGCGTGAGATTGAAGCTCCAGTGGGTGTCGTCATTCGTAGTGGGCTGTTAATGGAAACCTCTCAATTACTGCGCTGGAAGCGATTAGCAGCCAACAAGAGACAATCCGTCCAACGGCAATCCCGGGACCGTTTGGTGGTGTAGATAGTCAAGCGGTAGGCTCTTGAGGCCCGGTGTATTCCGGATGCTGTGAAAGGCAGGCTGCCAAGTGAATGAAGCAAAATGTCTTGAGGTTGCCAGAGTTTGGGAGAAAGAGAGTCCGAGGAACTTTGGAACGGAACCTGCTGGGAAGCCAAAAGCAATGGAAGCCAAGACCAGCTTGCAGCAGCTGCGGCGGCAACGAGCAAGCAAACCCCGGTGCACTTCAGCAGGAGCAAGCAGCACAGCAGCCGTCGTAACGGAGGAAGCCCACGCAACGCAAACACACGGCGCAACGCTGGCCGGGCATGCACCAGTGGCGGTGCGCCTTACACTTCCAGGTTTCGTTCCCCACCTCCGTAAGGTACCTCTAGCAGTACGTACCGCTGACTGTGGCCCCCTCTTCGTTCCAGTTTCCCCATTTTCCCTCTTCTCCTTCAAGTCCTCAGCGGACCTCTCCTAGGTTTACTACACCTCGACGTTTTGAACTGGGACCCGGCGGTGTTCTTTCGAGTCTGGGCAGCAGAGACGCCAGCTATCCAAGACTTCGGACAAACGCTGTTACGGAGAAGCACCTGCCATTCCTGCCTTGCGTCTCCAGCCCTGAGTATCCCAGAAGCCATTCAACGATTAACACCATCTTCCGTCTCGCTTCACCACCTACTCTGTACCATCGCCTCCCCGCTGCGGCACGACCAAGTGGGCCCTCTGGACGCAGGCCCGGCGCGGCACAAGCACTTTGAGTTACGCGGACAGGGAACCGCAGCTGCGACCAGAGGTTCTCTCGTAGAGCGCTGAGCGCTTGGTTCCAATACAGACAGACACCTATGGGACGGAAGCCAGCGGCAATTCCAACGTGCTCATTGACTGGCCCGGGTTAGACGTCACCCCATGGGAACATCCTTGAATACGTCCTCGAGTCGTCTACTCCGTCCATAAAGCAGAGTCGCCAGGCAACAGCATACAGGCCGCAGCGTTGCAGGAATCATATGAGACCTACTCACTACAATGCAGCAAAGCATCGTATAGGGCCCAATGTCATGGCCAATGGCTGATTCCGTGGGAAGATAAGAACAGCACAATCAGTACATGGGCATTCTTTAGCGGATATGGCGAACTCGGCAAACGCACGGTGACGACGACATGGCCATTCGACAATTTGCAGCTCCCCTAGATGCTTTCCTGTCGAGCTACCGGGTAAGATGGCACAGCATGTCGCCGAAAGCTTGCGCGTCCATTCGATCAACACGCGCGCAATCCACCGCCAACCACCCGCCCGCTGTCTGATGCTCAGAGGACGACATTGCGGTACCGAGATATGACTGGGCAGCAAAACAAAAGAGCCGTTCTCACCTACGGCCTGATCCAGACGGCCGAGACTAGATTGAATCAATCATCATGGAACATCCAGAGACGGCGAGTGGAAATAGAAAAAAGCAAGAAACGGTACCCTTGGGAAGAGGTACCCACGCCGTTGCCCAGTGGGGGTAAACTGTGGCGTCCACAGCTTCAGCCACACATCAAATGGTACGTACCGGCCGATTTACCCATATTGCTCATGGGTGCTCCCCGCGCAATGACGCAGCTTGCCGTCCGGTGCTCCGTGCCCGTGACCTATCCGGACAGGGACAGACCCCGCCCCTCCGTCCACCACGAAGAAGCCCTCCGCCCGTCCAAGTTCCATCTGCCAACCGCCCTTAGCAGCGGACTGCGGGATGCCAACGCCTACCACGTTAGTGTCGTGGAAAAGCTCTGTTCGCTCGCAGGGCTTTGTGTACGCGCATATAGCCCACCCACAGTTCACACAACCCTCAGCCCTTTTTGCAACTCGTCGAGGCCCGAGCCTCCGTTTCAAGACGGGGTCAAAGACGGGGGACACGCCGGTTCCTGCCACGAGGCTATGTGCATAGTCTGGATTTACAGCTTTGCGAGCCAACGAGCCTCCCATTGACCAAGTAGACCTGGGAGAAAAGAGACAACCCCCGGTGGCATGAATCTCGTTCGAAGCATTATGGGTGGGCTTTACTAACACCAAGGCCATTGTCCAAGCCTGTGAACCTTGTTCCGGGAATCCATGGCAGTCGATTTTATCTCGATTCCTGATCTCTCGTCCCCCCCTTCTCACCTCCTCTCGGCACCGCATCTCTCGAATGTGCCCCATAGTGCCCGTTCGTTACCTACCGCATGGGACGGTTTGACGCTAGGTGAGGGTGGGTTTGATGCAATCTGCGTCCTTTTTCTTACCTGGAGGAGACACATGAGTTGCAAAGCTTCTGTCGTGGCATCTTTTCCGTCATTCTATTTCACTTGGCGACTACTCATCTCTTACTCAGAGAAGGCACGTTGACCTGTATGTAGCCTGATCTAGAGATGCTTCTTTTGAGTAATGTTCCGATTTGGGACTGCAAGGAGCTGTCGGTCAACAGAGGCCTCCGTATATAGTCTAAACTTTGAGCAAACCTTTTCTTTCCGTCCCTCTCCTCGTTTCAAGTGTTATTAAGCGGGCACATCTCCATAACAGCCCTCCCAGCACCCAAGTTTACCCTTGAGGCGTGAGCCATACATCCCCGGCACTCAGGAGAGCTGCGCCCGGTTTCGAGGCGCAGGAGTCACGAGATCAGACTTCATCATTCGGATCCGGGTTCAATAAACAAACTTTCTATTTCACGAACGATTCTCGGGGCATTTACTCCGCCGTCCCGCTTCCGGAAATTTCGACGACACGGGCGGGCCGGAGGTCTACTTCGTGCAGGAACGGTCACCGGATTCGCCTTTTTCTCCATGGTGACAGTCGATGGAATTCGCCTCGGCGCAGCGGCAATTACCTGCAGCTACCTCAATGAACCTCTCTAGATAAAGCTGATTCAGCGGGTTCACGCTCTTTTCTTGCCGAACCACTATCATAATCGGTTCGTAAGTTTGGGAGAAGGGGGGGTGGTGGAGGTGGGAGGGGGTGGGCCGGGCGACCATTGTCACAAAAGCTATCCATCTCTAGGTCACATTCAATTTCTCGTGACGAAGCTATCGTTTTCCGTCTTCATGACATTTGGATTAAGTTGTTTCGAGTCTACGCTTGCGTTTTTCGAATGGCCAGCTCCGGGCCATTCGATCCGGCGCAGCAGAGCTACCACTGCGACCGCCGGCCATCCCCCGTCCTCTTTCATCGGAGACCTCGGCGGCCGATATCAGTACGGCAATGATATGAGAGCGTCCACCAGAGGCTAGGCGGCGAGGTAGACACCTGCACCGTCAGGTATCCAGACTCCCCGATTCCGATAATTCCGCGAAGCCCTTTGCGATCAACAAACAAGGACGGGGGGGGGGGGGACCCAAGTTTGAGAAAAGGCTGCAGAGCTCAGATCTCCTCTTGGAAGACAAAAAGTCTTTTAAAAATGAATTTCCCATTGCGGATGCGGATTTTGCGCTTGTTACTGGTATCACAACGTCTCGGGGAGTTTGAGGAACCGTCCCAATCCACCGACGGATGATACCAAGCGGCTCTTCAACGACTTATCCTACCTCGGATGAACCCAGATACTAGAATATGCAGCGAATGTAATCCACCCAACTTTCACCGGCGTGGCTGGAGAAACGAGGATGAATCGGGCAGACGTGTTTCCTCTCCGGAAGGTGTCGTGGAGATGTAAATCTTTATACTGATGCAACTACGGACTCGTAACACATGTGCTGCTTTCAAATCATAAACACCATGTGGCAGCAAGACTTGGATCTGAAGTGTTGCTAGTATGTAATACCAGTAAAGGCGAAGCAAGCCATTCACATGGAGGAATCAACAGAGTGTCGCAAAAACAAGACAAAATTGGTCAAAATCCTTTTCACCAACAAAAGACCGCCACATCACTTCATAATCCCGTCCATCCACGATAGGCTCGATACACTCACTACCCTGTACGGAGCACAGGTCGCCCCCCCTCTCCCCCCCCCTTCCCAAATACAGGGGGAAAGGGGAAAAGGACAAAAAGAAGTGTTCTCAACCGAAGCTGTGGAATCTAACCACTGAATAACTCCCCGAGGTGGGCTCGAACCACCAACCTCCAGATTAACAGTCTGACGCGCTAGCCAATTGTGCCATCGGGGATGTTGAGTCGAACAGGGATTCGCTGCTGGAGTGCCTGTGGGTTGACGGTCCCACGACGTTGTGGGGAATAGGAATGCTTCCAACATCGTGTCGCAGGGCAGTAAGGTAAAGTTGTAGTTGTGGATCATCTCGAGAAAGTCATGTGTGCCCGCAACAGATAGGAAATTGTTGGATAGAAAAAAAAAACTAGTAACCAGGATGGGTAGTCGTGGAGAACGAATCGCGTTTCAGAGGGATAGGATAGGACGTGAGGAGGGATGAAGAATATATGAGAAGAATACTGCATCTGCATCGCGAGGATGGCAGAAAAGGGCCTGGAGAAGAATGCCTGACGGGCAGCTTCCCAACAATGCTATGAATCTCAAAAGCCTCCCAAAAAACGCCAAAAGGAAAGGAGGACGGGGAAAAAAATGTGTACTCCCACCGGGAACCGGGTCCGTCTCTCAGCTATTCCGAGCCTTTCCATTTCATACAAAAATGCCCCTCCGCCTCATCGGCGCTCTCTCTTCCCCTGCTGACTCTATTCCTCCCTTCTAGACGTCATATTACAGAAATAAACACCGTACGGCACTTCATGCTTCATGACCTCCCCACACGGAACGTCTCCAGCCTCTTACACGAAGGCATCTCAAACTCGTCCGCCCTGCGCATCTTATCCGGGTCCTGGAAGAACCACCCGCTCGCGGCATCATACATTCGCTGCCTCGCCATCATCTCATTCTCGCACTCGAACCGCAGCGTCCGCACTAGATTATTCTCCGCCGTCTGGTCCAGCTGGCTGAGCTTCCCCTTGGAAAACGACTCGACCTCCTTGGGGTTGACAAAGTACTTGACGTTGAGCTTGGGCGTCGTCCGCCCCAGCGTGTAGGCCCCCTTGGGGTTGTCGTAGACGATGCTCGGCGCCGCGGGCCCGCCGCCGCTGAAGAGGCTGGAGATGAGCGGGAAAACAAAGAGTAGCAGGATAGGGAGCAGGCCCATGAGCGTCGAGAGCCCGCCGCCCTGTTGCTCCGTCGCCTCGCGTGGCCTCCTCCGCGGCCGCGCCCCGCCGAACTGGTGTACCCTGAATCCCGGACCGCCGCCAAAGTTGAACACGAACTGAGGTCCCGTATCGAAACCTGCGTCGCCGTCGTTAGCAAAGACCGCCTTGCTCGCTCAATCTTTCATTCCGGCTTGCTCATTCTTACCTCCACCTCCAAAAGGTCCACCGCCGAACCCGCCGCCGCCAAAGAAGCGCTGGAACATCTCTTCGGGCGTCATCTCCTCCATACCACCTCCACCACCACCACCTCCTCCCCCTCCCCCTCCTCCTCCACCGCCCTGCCGCCTACCAAATCCGCTAAACGGATTCTGCGCCTGCGCCTGCCCGAACCTCGAATCGGGATCCGTGCCAAAGCGGTCGAACTTTTCGCGCTTCTCCTTGTCGCCCAGTACGCTGAAGGCGCGGCTGACCATCTTGAAGGCCTCGTCGGCGTGCTCGTGCCCGTTCTTGTCCGGGTGGGTGAGGAGTGATTGCTTGCGGTACGCCTTTTTGATCTCGCTCTCCGTCACTGTCGTCTTCACCTCCTCGATGCCGAGGATGTCGTAAAAGGCCGTCGGCGAGCATTTCCGGATCCGCAGGACGGCGGCTTTTTGGTCGACGGTGTACGCGCGCGCCTGGTTACCTTGGTTGTGCTCGCGGCTGCGGGCGCCGCCCGTGTCTGCGCCCGAGGCTGTTGCGCTCGGCATGGTTCGACGGGTTGCTTTGTGTATATGTGTGTGTTTTGGTTGGTGTGGAGATGGTTGCTAGGTCGGACCGAGGTGGTCGCTATAGGGTGGCCGGAATCAAGTAGTTATTGCGATCGACGATATTCTGTATGGGACCGCTGTAATGAGATCTGGGAGACAGAGAAACGTTGCGGTCGTACTACGCGCATTCGTTGGATGATGCGATGTTGCGTGGTGGGTGATGCCAATCTGGCAAGATAGGCGATGCAAGGCTGGAGCCCGCGTCCTTGATGCTCCCCCGCACCAGCTGCAGCAGACAGCTCTCGCTGACTTGAGGTCTTTTTTGCAATTAGCTCTTGAAGAGCGTCAAGGACTCGTCGTCGAATACTTGATTTCTACGACGCAGGGAATCGCGTTGTTATCTCGGAAGAGGGAGGTGAAAAAAAAGAGAACCAAATCGCAATGGTTCCGACCAGCTTGGGGGAACTAGACACTGTTCAACTTCTAATCCACTCGATGGAGGTCGAAATTGACAGACACCCCGGCGTACCGGCACCGCAGACTAGCTGATTGGGTATGAGGCTCAGCTGACTCATCCGAACAGGGTCTCCTCTTATCGATAACCCACGTCACTTATACGGGGTTAAGCTAGGTAAGGTAGGTACCTTAAGCACTCCTATGGTAAAGCTCCCCTAGCAGCGACTCCAAAAAATCAGTGACGATATTCTTTTTCCCTCTCCGAGCGCGGAATCAACCAAGTCTTGCGCCGACGTCACCATAGCCCCAGCAACGCCGCAATTATGGCATCCGACAATAGCGCACCAGACACGGAGGACGTCAAGACATCAATCTTTAGCAAGATCCACGACTATGGCAGTACGCGTCCTCCCCCGTTCAACCCTTCCATTCCCTCCCCCCCCCACTAACACATTCATCACCACCTCCCCAGCAAACCCCCTCCCGCCAGCAATCCATGCGATCCTAATCGGCGCCCTCCACGGCCGCCCCCTTAAGATCCTCCCGGCCTCCTTCGCGCCAGCCCTCCTCTTCAGCAGCTACGTGAACCTCGCCGGCTTCCCCACCGATAGCGCGGGCTTCACCTGCGCCCTCTCGGGCCTCTACGCCCTCCTCGCCCTTCGCCGCCGGCAACCTATTCGCAGCAAGTTCACGGCCCGAGGCCTGGTCCGCGGCACCGCCATTGGTATGGGCTTCGCAAACTCGGCCGCCGGCGCGTGGGTCTACGCCAATGGCGACCGGGAGAAGGACGAGGTAGAGAGGAAAGAGAGGAATCGCTGGGGCGGGGAGTCATGAGAGAGAGAGAGAGAGGAAGAGAGAGGGGTAAAACCAGTGGCGGGAGTGCGGAGAAGAAAGACAAGGGATAGGATGTGGCGGACGAGCGTGATGTTCCTCCGTCTGCTCCTTCTCATGAACTTCTGCCATACTGCTGCCGTTCTTTTGCCGGGTGGTTGGTCTTGGCACGGCCCGAGTTATGGGCAAATACTTGAAATGCCAAGCCAAGGTGGATATTAGTAGTTTTGACTGTATAGGAAAGATTGTACGATTATAGGAGAAGCCCGTCGGATAATGAGAGGTGTCGAGTCATGGGACGAAACACCGTTACGCGAAACGCCGGCGTCTGGGGATGATGGATCGACACATCATGCTATTGCTTTTGATGAGCCCTCGGAGAGCCAAGGCTTCCTCAAGGCAGTAGTAGTATGGGTAGAGAGACTTGAGAGCCGGCAACTAGATGAGAAAGATGGACTTTTTAGAATACCATGTACACCAACTTTGAAAATGCACAATCCAGTTACTGTGACTGTTTTTCATTGCGTTTGCAGAGATGTATGTCATTTACCTCTCCTAACGGTCAGCTGTCCAACCCACTCTACCAAGGTAGTAATACAATACAGCCGAAAAGAAAACTGTACTTGATGAAATGCCATTGTCGATGACCTCCCAAGTCTCGAGTAAAACGCCAAAAGGAGACATCTCAGCTCTTGATGAGTCCCCGGTATTCTGTCTATCCATACAAAGGAAAAATGAAGTAGCCGACCCTGCCCTGGCAGTCTGTGCTGCATATTTCTGGGCGGTTGTCCCAATGTACCAAACTTTTTGTGTGTCCTTGTTCTCCTGTGCCCTTTCATATACTTCGACTCATTTCGTCGATCATCCTCTCACCGGTGCTGTAGTAGCCTTCTCTCCCTGCCCTTCACTATTGCTCTCTGGTCTTCTGCTGTCTTCGTGTAAGGTATCGATGCTGGGGTGATGGCCTCCAGTTTTCTTCTGAAATGCTGCACCGTGCAGTGCTGCGCTCCACCAAGTTCAGACACCGGTGAACGTCTGCCCAATGCCAAGAATCATGCAAAGGGCCCAGAGTCTGTGATGTCCATGAGAGGGTCAATCACCTCACTTCTTTGACTCGTCTGGCTGTGGTCTGCATTCTATGCCCTGAGATGAACCAGACGAACACAACAAAGACAGTGAAGAGCGTCACTCGCATAAAGTGCCGGATCCGAAACCGCATATTCGCTTCATGGACGAAAAGGTTTGACAGATCTGAGAGATCAAAGTCGGTGAGGTACTTAACGTCACAGTCTCTGATCTTGGGCTCGGCATATGCCCGGTACTCGTCGACAATTGTGTTGAGTTCCCAGCCGGTCACCTTGCGGACCACGCCAACAACACAGCCAGTGCGGTGCTATGGTCATGTTAGTGGGTGTACTATCTGGAGACTTGCCCATGTCCGTAAGCATACCTTGCCGTGATTGCAATGAATAAGAAGAGGGTGATGCTCTCTATTCAGAACCAGCCGGAGAATGGCCTTCATTGTACGAATGGGAATGGCTTCCTTCTTTGTGCCCTTCATGTTGAAGACATGGTGACGAATGCCATTGCTGGACATGAAAGCAGTGTAAGGCTCGTCAACATCGTCTTTTTGGACAAGAGTACTGAAGTTTTGGTTAGTACAAAAGGCCCAGGAATACTTGAACAGCCAAGAAGACTTACACAATCGATTTGAGGCCAAGATTACGGATGAAGCCAAAGTCCTCAGGCTTGGGGTAGCTGCTTCGATAAACTCCAGGGACAACAACGCCAAAGTTGACAGGCCTTCCGTCAATGGGTAAGATTCGCTCAATGCCAGGGGACGAGGGTGAGGCCGGGGGGGTTTTTGACTGCTCGGCGACCTTGAGAAGTCCGTCCTCGCGCCTCGCCAAAACTTTCTCTCCGGGAGTTGCGGCCTTTTGGGCTTCGTCCTCCATCGCCATCATGATCTGCTTTTGTATGGAAATGTCCAAAGTAGAGTCGGAGCCGGCAACGGACTCGCGCGATCCTTGCCGCGAGGGTCCCTTTACTTGGTACTTTTCGGCCAGTTCAATGGGGATGGGATCTTCTTGCTTGGAATTGCGTCTCGCGGGGTGGTAGGTGGGATGTTCTGCAGGGTGGCCGCCTTCGTCCTCGAGAAACTGTCTCGCACTTCGTTTTGAGACCACGGCACCAGCCATTGTTTGGGATTTGGTGTAAGCCGTGGGTGGAGTGATCGTGGAGTGAGCTTGATCGCGTGACTGTCCACGGCCGTCAAAGTATGCTTTCTGGGGTTCGTGGGCGGTAGAGTTCAGGGTTCGGAGAAAGGTTAGGAAAGGGTAAGAGGTCGTGTGAGCACAGCGCTGTGCGGTGATGCTTGGTAGTTATTTTTTGAGGAGTGTTGAAAAGCGTGTAATCGGATTTTTTCCTCCCGTGGGACAAGAGGCAGTGTTGAAAAATGTCCCTTTGCGTGTCTCTACAGAGCACAGGCGGAAACCTGACGGGCGGCAAGTTGGAAATTGAGGTCCATCTTGTCGAGAGTCGCGGCTAGGGTGGTCTGTATGGTGGTGTCGCACTCGCAGGCGCAGGTGACAGTTGGTTTCGCAAGGTTTCTCGGTGACGAATTTGGGAGTCCCAGTTGTGGAAGCGAGAGAGAAAGAGATGGGGAGTGCTCGGGGGTTTATTGGGACGGTTGACTGGTATTGGCTGTAGAAGTGAGGCAGAGATAGAAAGAGGCAGAGGACCCTGGGTGCGCGCGGGAGGAGCGGGTTAGTAAATGAGCATCGTAATGTGTGGGATGGGTTGGATGAATGGTCCACGGTGCGGTGCGTGAGGTGGGCGGGACGTGGGTGCGGTGGAGGAGGAAGCGCGCCAGCACCAGAAGGCTCAAGTACCCGTAGGCCTTGGGGTTGGTGACAAGGTACTTGTGTGCCTGCCCTGCAGCAGTGGAAGGGAAATGACGGGGAAGGCCCGCTACGTACCTTTTTCTTCTTGTTGATCTGACTTGGGGGTTGTCTCAGGTTCAAGGCCCAAGTATTGGTTCGAATTTTGGTAGGAGGGAGGGGAGGGTGAGGCAGGAGAAAAAAAAGATTGACTTTGATGGGTGAAGGGTGATGGCACTGAGTGAATGGGAGACGGACTTAGAAGGCGGAGGTCGGAGCATGGAAGAGAGGACCAGGAAGGGGAGAAAAAGGAGGAGGGGTGGGGTGTTGGCATCACAAAATTTGGGGAAGAGACGTACCTGCCCAGAGCTGCCGTACCTGCACAGGTGGTAGGTGGTAGGTACATCGACACCTCTGACTGCTGGCTAGGTAGGACAGTTCACTTTCAGACTGGAGGGCGCTGGAGACAGACAGGGACAAAAAATCAAAATCAAAAAAGGGAAAATGCGACGCGCCCAAGGTGACCAGTACGAGGTGGGCTGGACCTGGCCAATGCAGACCTCAGGCCAGAGAGAGGCCGGGAAGAGTGAAGACTCGGCTGACCATGTATCTTTCGCCCGATTCACAGCTAGAGATACATCAGATCTCAGTGTGGGGGACGCAGCAAGGGTACGTCTACTAGACCAAAAACAAACAAGGTGCGACTCTGGGATGGCGACGCCGCGACACCCACTGGGCCACCGAGCCGAGCTGACTTTGTAAGCTTTGGGGCCACCGCAGGCCGTGGAAGCCAAGCTGGAAAGGCAGAAAGGCCGTTGTTTGGGAGTTCGGGTACGTACACAGAAACCTTGGGAAGGGCGAGGAAAAGGAGAGGTACAGACTGCCTGCCCTCGACTGCGATACGTACCTTTTCTAATCCCTTATTAGGCATACCTAAGGTAGGGTAAGGTTGGTAATACCGTATTCTTAGCACCCTTTTGCTGCGAAATGCGAGGCACGTCCCTCGACATCCCTTCAACTCTTATCCAGCAACTTGCCTGCTTGCACGACCGTCTTTCCCTCGGAGTTTAGTACCACAATTCCAGAGGGGAGCACAAAGCGTACTGAAGATGCCATCCACAGCAACATCATAACTCGCATCAACCTGGCAAGATGGATATCCGCTGGCGGCGCAACGAAGCAGCAACGAAGCATTGGCATCCTCACGCCCCATGCTAGGCCTGTGAGAGTATGCCACGATGGCTGGATGGGCAGTCTCGCACTGCTTTCAACAGCATAACAACTTGTGACAACAGCGACGGGACGCCAAGCGATCAGGAACCAGCCAACAGAGAGGGAAAGGAAAGCGCAGAGACCAGCAAAACGGCGGCAGAGAGCAAAAAACCCGCCGATGATCTGAGCGCTGACGAAGCCACAGATGATCTGCAACCCTCAGCCACGGGGCGACGGGGCGCACGACGAGGACGGTACCTAGGCAAAGGAAAAGGGAAGGCGGCGAGCACCGACTGATCTTTCTGCCGCCGCGTCACAGAGATGGCGTGACGGCGTGGTTGGGCCTCTCTATCTCAACTCAAAACTTGATATGATCGGTGATCTCCTCTTCCCGTCTTCCGCGAGTGGCGGTTTTTTTTGGCCCTTCAAACCCGGCTGACAGAGCGATGCGCGTTCGTCCACGCTACCTACTATTACGGCTGCTTCGCTACAACGCGAACCCCAAGGATCAACAGCCTATGGAGTAAGGCACAGTGCACTGGTTGGCAGACGCCGACTTTCCCCAGACTTTGCCAGTCACGAGTAAGAGTCGCATCTCAGAAACATGCCTGGTCCCGCTCGTAACAGTCCGTCGGTCGAGCTACATCAAACTGTGCTGTTGATGCATCGTACCAGTCTCCAACCACTCACGTGTCACTGGACCAGTGAGGGGGAAGAGTCGGGCAGGGATTCTCCAAATATCACTCTCCCATAAGCGCACTACCATGGGCGATCAGCGATCAACAGGCGCGTCGTGTGGTCGACGTCTACAGACTACGAGTACTGCATGGGTGTTGTCCAGCAGTGGTTGGCCCCTTCAGAGACAGGCGCCCTGCATCGCCTGCATCGCCTGCATCACCCCGGGTCAAGGCCGCTGTTCCACTTGCGTCCTGTCGTGCCATGTCATTGCTAGTGGGAAATGTCACGCGGACGCGGGGGGCAGAGTCGAGACGGCGTCAACCAGCCACACACGGACAGCCTCGTCTTGCGTCGATCGAGCGCCGACGACGTACGGAGGCTGGATGACTGATCTCCATGCCTGGCAGCATGACTCTTTCCCGCCTCAGTCGACCTGCAACCGCTGCAGAGGTGCGCCAGAGTTCGGTATGAGATGCTAGACTCTTAAATGATCATTCCAGGCCTGGCCCTGCCTCGTCTCTCACTGGACTCGCTTCAATTCCACACAAAACACATGGCATCTAGTGAATAGTATTAATGATGATTAATGATGCACAGTTATGGCAGGCACAAAGGGAGGCTCTGCTCTCGGCCCCTCGTGCTTCGTCGTCATTCCAGACCATGGCATCCTGTCACTGTCTACGTAGTGCCAGCCTGTTTGGTACGTCATTTGCCCTCAGAGGGACCGAGCAGGTCTTATGGTGCAAACATCCGCGGCTTCAGCAGAGTCTGTCAGGCTGCGTAAGCCGTACGGAATCCCACGCATGGGTCGGACGAGGTGGGCTTGGGGGTTTCTGTACCGAATTCCTGGTAACTACCTTGGCCTACGGCGAGGAAAGAAATGTAGGTACATTGGTGTACCTGAGCTGACGCAAAAGACGGAAAAAAGCAAACACTCCAACTCGAACCAACCCAGTTCCGTCTCAACCAGGCTTTCAACGTGACGGCATTACCTCACTCTTCGCCAAACATTTGAAGCCTTTGCCTGCCCTCCTGTACACTCGAGCCGCCTCCGTCACGGTTTCGGTGACGCTGGCTTGCCCTACCGAGCCTCAAATCAAGAAAAACTTTCGCACTCGGAAATACCGACACAACTGAACAACCCCCGCAAGCATCACACGAAAACGAACACGTTCACAATGTTTTCAGGCTACGGTATCCGTAACTTTATGGCGACTATAATGTATACAGGTGCACAATGAACTTTTTTCGCAATATAAAATTCTCTCTGCACTATATTTTATTTTTGGTCAAGGATAATAATACAACTAAAGCCGCTTCCACTCACCGAGCTAGGACCCTTGGTTGGCGCCGACAGGGCTCGCGGAGACCGGCCACATTCGCCTTTTTCGGCACCGAGCGGCGGATACCTGTCAGACTTTCTCAATGAAGGCTGACCAGGGATGATCCGTAACGATCTCGGTGTTAAGTCTGGTAACCTCGCGAACGGGCGGGCTTGCGTCCCACCGCAGGCGGAGACTACCCGCATTTCTCATCAACGTCTATCGGACTTTCTTGCTTCACTCTCAGTTGTCCACAATTTCGGGTCTCTGTCCTAGAAGGCCCAAAAAAGTTGAGATGCCGACAATGATCCTGGGCATCTTGCTTCCCACGGCCGACCGTAAACTAGTGGAACCCCTCTACGACCCTCGCCGCCTCGCGTGCACCGTCCGAGAAAATAAACCCCCATGCTTTCCCCCCCCCCTTCTCCCAAAGCCCACGATGCACGAAAACACGGTAGCGTTATGCAATCGCAACTCCGACGGCATGCAGGCGAGTCCAGCCATGCGATGAACGACGCGATGGCGTTGCCTCTGGCGTGTGCTAGCTCCCCCATCAAGCACACAAGCACACGACCTAGCTTGGAGCAGTATCAAAGTAAAATTCTAGCTTACGCCGTAGGCCCGTAGCGTCGGTCTACCTCGGAGGGTAGCCGAGTAAAAATCCGTCCGTCTCGGTCAGCCGTGTAAGCTCTGCTCAACGGCGCACCCGACTCGACCGAAAGTAAAAGCGCGTCGCACCACTAATGGGCGGGCTAGCGGTGCCAAACAGACAGCTGGACCACACCACTCGCAGAGGCTAACAAGTCACATTTCTCTAGAGACAGATGGAGAGAGAATAAGAGCGGGCGAAAAGAAAGGAGAGGGAAAAAAGAGCGTGGAACAGCGGCAGTGTGCAGTGATCGATAATCCCATTTCCAATCCCATCTCACCAAGCCCCTTAGGCCACCCCGACGGAGCGTGACACCGTTCGACGTATCAATGTCTATCTAATGACGAAGTTCCACTGTACCAATAACCAACCGAGAGACGCAGCAAAACCTTCTCTTCTGTTGTAAAAACTCCCTGTGGTCGCCCGGGCAATGCTCTACTATGTACCCCTATGCAGCCTTATACCCAAAGTCTGACAAACGCCGATAAACAATGCCAACCCAATGCTTCGTGTTACTCATTCCAAGTTTCTCTTCTTGATGTTTCTCCCTCCACACCTCCAAACGGGATCTACCGTCTCTAGCAAGCAGCGTTCCACATCTCATGTGCGAGTATCGCACCAATGACCGAAGCGCCATGTAATCCGGACGTCGGCGTCCGATCGCTCCAGATCTGGAGCGCAAAGTGACATGCCACCGCTAGCTCCGCTATCCCCAGCGACGTGTTGATGATGGACGCCCAGGTGGGCGTGTTCTCGTTGCGCATGTCCCTGATTGCGTCGCCGGTGAGGTGGATGGCAATGGTCATGCTTAGCAGCATGGCGCCAAGCATTACGTCCCGGCTGTACGGGTATGATGCAGACGTCGCGTGGAGCCACGCGCCGAGGAGGATCGCCAAGGTGAAAACGTCCAGTAGGCGGTTATTACGCAGACCGACCGTTCGTACCGAGGGTCCGGGGAGCGCAGGCTCGGCGTGCCTATTTCCTGTTTCCGTCGTTGTCGTCGTCTCTCCCTCGTCGTCGTCGTCGTCTAGGCTCAGCGTGAAACTCGAATTGAGTAGATCGGCCAGGGAGCTGCGTGGATCGCTGGGGTTCGATGCCGAGGGCGCGAAGAACGTGGGCTGCGCGAATGCCACCCTGCCCGCGTCGCCGTTCGCGTCTTCGCCCCGCGCTTGAGACGCATCCGTCCTGCCGGTTGAGAAGATGGATTTTTTCTCCACCGGTTTCGTCAACACTTTGGGACCGTTGCGAAGCTTCTGCGCCGGTGTTATCGGCGCGGGAGGAACCTTGTACCAGAACGGGCTCGAGTTCGGGCCTGGATCTGGTTGCCCAAATACCTGGTTCGGGGCCTTCGGAGGTCCAAAGTCGTTAAAGGCTCGGTGTTTGGACTGAGTCGGGGACCAGTCCATTTCCTCCGAATACTGGGGCTGTGGTAGCTTATGAGGAGTATTAATGCCAATGTTTCGGTTGCTCGATCGGTGCTGCAGTTCCCGCTGGAAGAGTGCTGGTGAAGCTGAGCCAACACTCGTTGGACTCGGAGGAATCCCGGGCCTCGGGCTGGACTCGGCCAGGATGTCGTCGAGGAGATTAGCCATGTTCTTGTTGTCATCCTCTCGAGCTTGCGCTTGTTGCGGTCTCGGTGGTGACGCAGCAGGTGTTCCGGTGTTTTGGAATAGTGGTGTCATGTCGACGTGTACAGATCGTTGGGCGAGTATGTATATCTACAACATGAAGTCAGCAGCATCTCAAAACACTGGGAGGAGCAGTGCTTACAGCCAACATCAATAGAGCCATCAGTCCATGAAGGCTCATCTGGGCGCTCCCTTCGGCCGATCGACCGCCTTTCAGTTCGGTCATTCTCATGGCCAGAAATCTCGTGAAGATGATGAGCCCCTGAAAGGTATACCAGTGCGACAGACCTAGGATATGGCGAGAGAAACCGCGGAAGACCTGGACAAATTTTGGATTCCACCAGATGCTCACAGCATTTGCCCATAGACTCCAGTATATCAACCTCTCAGGGTGAGGGAGAAGCAGTGTGAGAGCGAGCGACAGCCTTTGAGCCATTGTTGTTTCGGCATCGGGATCGCGCAGTGGTCCCTCGTTCTGGTCCACCGCAAAGACAACAGACAACGACGCGACATGCCACAGGTATTGACAAGAGATTCCCACAAACCAGAGCCACTTGCCCACCTTGGCCGCGATATCCAGCGACGTCAATTGTTTTGGAGCGACCCGGACCTTCCTGCTCCTATCCATCATGCGTCGCAAGTGGTCGGTCCGCGCCGTATAGCCAGCTTGATCCAACTGAGCTTGGACTTTGGGTTCGCATTGGGCGCAAATTTGGGGGTATCGCTGTTCGAGTCGGCGGCGAAATTTGTACATGTTCCTCTCGAGCTCGACATAGTCGGGGTGATCTGGGTCTTCGGGTAGGTATTGTGCCAGGGAGCTGGTGAACAAATGCTGGTTCTTGAGACATGTCGCACAGAAGATGCTCTGTGATGGGCTGCTAAAGTCGGGAGACTGAGATCGTGGTATCGCATACGTCGTCGCAGCAGGCGTCGAGGTTGTCTTGGCTACGGGAGGGTCGGTGATGTCTCCGCGCTGATGTGACTGTCAGATGCAACCGCGACTCGCGATGCGCCGTGGGTTTATTTATTTACCTCGTCCAAGTAGTTGGTTGCGTCGCATTTCAGGCACAGGAACTCTCGAATCAGGCCATCGTATCGCGTTGATGAGCGCTTCCCGCAGTAAAAGCAGGTAAGCAGCCTGCCGCTTCTCAAGTTCGCCATGGCGCTTTGAGGTTCAAGGCTCCTCGGGCCACACAGAGCATTTATGCAGGTTGACGATATGTCTTTGCTCGATATTGTTGTAGCCCGGAACTTTCTGGATTCTGCCGGGCGGTCTGGGCGTGTTCCTGGCAGAAAGCAGGGGAAGCCACAGGGGTCGTCAAGTCCCAGCAGGCACATGAGGTCATCCGCTTTTTCTGTCAGGAACCTCCTAGTGGGCTGCACTAACTGACGGTGCAAGGCGGAAGCTCACAGTCCAGCGCCCTCGACACAACACAGGGCAGCACAAAGCATGCAGGCGGTTCAATTGGACCCAATCACATCCCCACAATTTAGGTTCCTCAGCGACTTTGCCAGCTGTGCGTTAACATCCAGCGCTTGAAGATTGTCCATCTCATGAATTGAGGACCTTTGATTCCTCGGCGACAAGTGAGAATTGTTGTTTTCAACACAATCAAAACGCTGTTGATATTTCATTCAACCAAGAAATTGCTAAATAGGAGGGAAAGTAACATCATTGACTTACAGGAGGTCAGCTGTAAGTAATGGTTCGCCTACAGGGCGAAGAACAGCTGTTCACGAAGTACTGTTGACACTAATTGTTACAGACTCGAGCCACGCCGCAGCAGCATATTCGTAATGAGGCATGGCACTTGAGCACAGATATAAAGCAATCTGAAAGACGACGCCATGGCGGGTGCATCTACCTTGATCGGCATCCCATGTGCTTTCTGTATTCTCGGCCTTGCTCTTATTTTAAAGTCATCATGGAAGGCCTCATTCTCAACTCTGGCTCTAGGAGCTGTCTTGTTCATTGTCTTCGTCACGGTAATTTAGCGCTACATCTCTACTCTGCTAGAACCAGTCCGTAATGACATTCTTTAGGCTCGTCATCTCCAAGTCCAGCAGTCTCGTCTGAAGAGACCCATCCACTTGTCCGATGTTGCCGCAAAAGAGTCAACCAGCCTCGGCTTATTGAAGGGAGCATACTTCCTAATCGTATTGGGCTCAGGCGGCCACACCAAAGAAATGTTAGCCATGATGGAAATCAACTTTCCCAACGTTCCCAGCATGCATCGACGCTATCTCATCTCTAGCGGCGACTCAATGTCACTCAAACACTTGGATGCCTTTGAAGACGAGCTCAGAACTACCCACGGTGAAGAGCAGGCGGGAACCTTTGACAAGCACATCGTTGCGAGAGCCAGGAAGATTCACCAAAGCCTACTGACGACGCCCTTCACTGCCTTGATGTCGGTTGTCCAGATCTTCCCCTTGCTCTTATCCTCCCCTTTTAAAGGCGCGAGAAGCCGCCAACAGTTTCCAGACATCATCCTCACCAATGGTCCAGCTACCGGTTTCATCGTTGGATTGGTGGCCTATTTCCTCAAGGTGTTCTACGTCGTTCCGGAGGACGCCATGCAGGTCCTCTACATCGAGTCGTGGGCCAGAATCCGCACCTTGAGTCTGACCGGGAAACTGTTCCACTATACCGGGATTGCCGATATCTTGTTGGTTCAACATTATCAAGTGGCCAAGACATACGGTGTTACCAATGCGGGTTGCATGGTTGTAAAAAGGAAGAGATGACGGCGTATTTGAGTCAAGGATATAAAAACTGTTGTGGCGAGACGAGGTCAACAGTCATGTAGTAGAAGAGAATAGATCGCCGTAAATTATTCATCCAGGTCAGATAATGCATGCAATGATCTTGTACTAGCAGGTGTTCGTACCATTGCCACTAGTAATACTTCAATATACTAGCATTTTGAAGAAACCAAGTGACCCGTTGTAGCATTCTTGAGATGTGAACATCACGCCCATGACGACCACGGCAGTCGAGTCGACCGGTTACAACACAGGTACGGATGCTCCTTTATGTTCGCTGCCGTCGTTCGATGCTGGAACAGTGGTATTATACAGAATTTTGTAGTACATATACTTACAAGGCCCCGGACTTCTCCGCTCAAACCGCTGCTGGTTCCTCAGGGGTTTCCTCTGTTTCCTCACCGAAGGTGGCGTAGGTGGAACTGCGCTGCTGCTCGAGCGCGACAGCTTGGTGGCTGGCCCAGCCCTTCCAGACCTCGTATTCCTTGTCTTCCAGATCCTGTGCGATCTGCAATCTGTTCTTGCCAAAGTACGCTCCGACGTGTCTCGCCTCCTCCCTGGCAACGCGCTTCTCGATCTCCTCCTCTTGGCGCAATGCGTAAAACTCCTTTCTCGCAGTGTCGTAGGCCTTTGCTCGTGGAAGGGATCTGTTGCGCATGAGCCAAAGCTGCCGCTGAATGACGCTGTCTGCATGTTAGCTGGGGCTCCAAACTGGGGAGGGAGCTGGGCATTGGGGATGGCCTCACCATTCACCGGTCAAGGGCAGCCCAGGTTGACGGAGACCCCTGGACCAGTCGCATCTCTGATAATCCTTGCCATCTGATTCCAAAATCATTCTTGGGCGCGCCAACTCCCAAGGGTGGTCTTTGAAGAACGTCGTCCGTAAGGAGTCCTCCTCGTGCACTATCGGTTGAGGTTTAAAAATATTGCGCGGCTTACGGAGCTTGCGGTTGGATGTGCCCGTTACCGTGACCGGCCTTGTGAGGATTTCGGAAGGGGGAATGTCTCTCATGACCTGGAACCATGGTGGTTCTTGGAATTGATGTTTGGGGAGGATTCTGGTGGTAAGCTCCTGGCTCACGGTCTGGTAGATCCGCGCAGGCCTGATCTGTCGACCCATGTTGATCTAACAAGTTTATTAGGTTTTTAGTAATTCATGTCTTGGGAAATCTGGCACTTACTGTTGAGATCGAGACGGAGGTGGCACAGCGACTGTTCCTAACTGAACGTCTCCCCAGGAAGGTGCTGAGCTCCGTCGGTCGCGAACTGCATCTCAGAAATTTGGAGCGTCGGCCAATCCTAACGCCGGCACCGGCTTTTGCGGTCGGCCCCACTCTACCCATGCATTTCACCAGCGAAATAATATTCCTATCCCAATCATCCCGGAGCTTTTAGTAACGCAGCTGGCAGCTCACCAAATACCCAAACGCCAATTCCTTTTCCTACTCGCCAGCGAGCGCGTGCTCTTCGATGGAACGGTGATGCCCTGGCCGCAATGCTCGACAACCCATGAAAGTACTTAGCCGGATAGACGGGTCCGTATGCGGTGCCATTCTCTCGGCTCGACCCTGCGCAGCTCGAGCTGCAGTTTCTTCCCGGCCAGAGCTCCGAACCGAGAGACCTTCGAGGGCGCCGGCGTCCCAGCACCATAGGGGCCACGCGCGATGCACTCGCCCACCGGCTACTCAATGTCCTCGGACAGCCTCGTGGCTGCTGTCGACCTTTCTGCCGGCGCCCTTCTCTATCCGCCCCCGTGCCTCGACGTGCTCGACCTCGGCCACCCGCGGACGAACTCAATCATACAGCCAGGCCGCCGCCGCCGCCGCCGCCGCCGCCTCAGCTAGCCGAACGGATCAGGTCGTCCTGCGAAAGAACAAGGAGGTTCTACTCGGGTTCGTGGAGCACGAAGATGTTGGAACAGTCGAGGAACACTTGGAACTCGCCCGGGATCCATTTCTCAACAGATATGCTCAGCCGGAGCCTACTCAGCTCACGATATCGGAAAGGAAAGAGGACCAGCAGTATCCTTCATATTACGAAGCACTACGTGGCGACGAAGATATCGGACAGCTCGTCACCAAGCTTGGCACTGCTGTGAGCATCAAGATGAGATATCCACAAAGGGTTGATCTGGACTCCATACACGCTCTATACGCGGCGCTACCGGAACCTCGGATGATTCATATGCCGGCAAAGCTGCGCCATCGCTTGCTCAGGATATTTGGCACACCGGTGAAGAAGGAGACGCAGACGATGCTACGCTACTTCTCCCTCATCGGCGATGCAAAGGATTGCGGGATCGCTCTGCGACAGAGTGAATGGAACCATGCCTTGGCCCTGGCTAGCAGATACGTTGGTAGAGTCACGGACACCGAAGCCGAGGCCGCTCTCCAATTGTGGAAGGAGATGGAGAAGCTATCCGGGGTTAAGGGAAACTCTGTCACCTTCAACATCCTATTCGATGCAGCGTCCAAAGCTGGAAATTTCGCACTGGCCGAGATGCTTTACGAGGAGATGAAGAAGCGCGGATACAGCTTCAATCGCTTTCACCACGTCAGCCTCATTCACTTTTTTGGGCTCCGGGAAGACCCCGACGGCGTCCGGGCTGCATACAAGGAATTGGTGCAGGCTGGGGAGATGGTTGACACTGTGGTCCTCAACTGTGTCATCTCCAGTTTCCTGAGATGTGGAGACGAGGATGCGGCGCTGAAGGTTTACGGCTATATGAAAGACAGCTATTCCGCGGCTGCCAAGATACCGCCGATGGATCCCACGTTGGACAAGGCCGTCATTCAGATCCACTCCATGTTTGCACGTGTCAGCAAAAGGATACCAGAGCTTCAACCTAAGCTGCAAGAGCTTGCGCATGAGACCCCGGATATGCGAACGTACCGTATTCTCATCAAGCATTTCGCCATAACAAAGGGAAACCTCAGCAAGACTGCTCAGTTTCTGGACGAGATGCCACAGTTCGAAGTTCCGGTCCATGGCAGCATCTTCCTCGCCATATTCGAGGGATTCAGCAAGTACGGCGCATCTCCCTTTTCTCCTTGGACAGCTGAACGGCTGGAGAATGTCTTGCAGGCGCTATTCGAGGCGATTGACAATAAAGTCCAGGGTCTAAGACTCGATACCTGGCTCATGATATGGGCGCTTCGGGCCTTCATGAAATGTACAAATAACGAAAAGGTATTGGAGGTGTACGAAGATTTTAAGCAGAGGTGGGATCTTGCTCCGGACAGAGCGGACTTCATGGATCATTATCTTGCCAGACTCATGGACGGGAAAGATTCATACATCTTCCGACATATGTCCGGGCAGCAGAAGAAACACAAGGCGGTCAGGAAACGGCCTATGTAAAATAACTTATACAATAGACAAAGATACCAGTAATTTCAATTACCTGTCCATTCTTCCTCGTTGATGGCTTGTTTCACAGTCGGGGTGCCGTTCATCATCGGCATGTCAATTGGAATCTCTCATTTGTTCCAGTGCGAGTATACTCTGTAGCGTCGCGTAGCTCCCGTATTGCGATTCGCATCCTATCACGTAGAACGATATGGCGGCAGAGCATGATTTCGGTTCCCGTGCTGATCCATTGAGGACGAAAAGTCTCTATTTCTGCTTGTGTACACAGTCGTCCTCCGTTTCAACCAAATCCATGCTCTACAGTGGCGATCGACTCAAGAAAATACGTAATAGGTTGCTTAAACCTTGGGCTTGTAAGTTTGCCAAGCTGCGAAACTCGTCAGTACTCGATCTCGGCGAAGCCCGGAGCATAGGTAAAAAGCACGCACCAGCGATGCCGAAGGGGGCGAAGAAGCCGACGAAGGAGTAGGTCCAGAAGCCGACGCCAAAGAACTTGCCCTTGGGGTTGAAGGGAATGTTGGAGTAGGGACCCTCGGGGTAGTGGTAGGGCGAGGACATCTGGGCGCGGGTGGTCTGGAAGCCGCGGCGGGCGACCATGGAGGGAGTCTTGGGGACCGCGCGAGCGGCGGCACGGGCGAACATCTACAGAGACCGGGTCAGCGTCAATTGAACTCCTGGGAGTACTCAGGAGATTATCGTTACTTTGGCGGTGTGTTATGAGGCGATCGCGAAGCGCAATGGGGGTAAAGAGAGATGCGGTTGTGGTGTTGAAGTCATCCAAAAGAGTGGTCTGAGAGTGTGAGCCGGCTTAGCTCCAGAGATCTCCAAGTCTGTTCCCAGTTATGTAAGCACACGTGACTATGTCAAGCCACAGGTAGCAGCCAACGGTCCAGTCCCGCGACTGGGATTTCGAAGCTACCGAGGTGGGTGACCGCCTTCCGTGCCTGGATGACCCATCAACCGTCATGCATGCATTTTGGAATTTTTTTTCTGCCTCTTCCGTTGCTTGCCTGGCTCGACCCGCCAACTTTTTCGCCCGGGCACCTGTGAATTGCGACCGACGCACATTGTTGGGACCTTACAAAATTGAGGAGCTGCCTCTTGTCTCACACCGCAGAATCCAAGAGACGCATCGCTGCATTTGCAGTGTTCCGTCCCGTCTCTTTGTACTTTCAGTTTGCAAAGGCTGTAATTTTGTCCATTGCGATTGGACCGCCAACAAACCTTGAGTCCCTGACGCCATACATAAGACCAACAAGGCGCAGACACCCGACTTCGTAATTCAGCCCTTGACGGCAAACAATTGCCCACCATGGACGAGCTCTTCGATGTTTTCAACGCTCAACCCGACGCGCAAAGCGAGTCACACAGCGAGCCCGAACACGAGACCGAGGTCGTCGACCCTCCTCAGAAGTCGCGTAAGAAGGACAAGAAAAGCAAAAAGCGCAAAGCCGATGGCGGAATAAAAAATGGCGTCGCCGAACAGCCAGAGGACGACGACATGCCCGATGCCGACGAGACCTCCAAGGATGGCAAGGATGCAGAAGAAGCTGAGGACGCTGCCGCTTCGTCTGACGAACAACAGGAGCCCCATAAGGATAAGCGGAGGAAGAAGGAAGATGAGGCCCAGCCTGTCTTGACCGACACCTTCCAGACTGCCCAGTCCCGAGAGGTTGCCGGCGCGGCAGTCTTCACCCCGGCCCAGGACGAATCGCTTGTACTGTCCCACAACATCCAGCACCAAGTCGCTCTGCCACCTGATCTTGACTACGAATACGTCCCCCTCTCCGAGCATAAGCCACCCGCGGAGCCCGCGCGCCAGTACAGCTTCAAGCTCGATCCCTTCCAGGCCCTGTCTGTCGCTTCGATCGAGAGAGAGGAGAGTGTCTTGGTCTCTGCCCACACCTCTGCCGGAAAGACTGTCGTCGCCGAATATGCGATTGCGCAATGTCTGAAGCGCAACCAGAGGGTAATTTACACGAGTCCCATTAAAGCGCTCAGCAACCAGAAATACCGAGACTTCGAAGCGCTGTTTGGTGACGTCGGCCTGATGACTGGCGATGTCACGATCAACCCTACTGCGAGTTGTTTAGTCATGACGACCGAGATTTTGCGCTCCATGTTGTACCGTGGTTCTGAGATCATGCGCGAGGTTGCCTGGGTCGTCTTTGACGAAATTCATTACATGAGAGACAAGACCAGAGGTGTTGTTTGGGAAGAGACCATCATTCTTCTTCCTGATAAGGTCCGCTACGTGTTCCTGTCAGCTACCATTCCCAACGCCTTCCAGTTTGCCGAATGGATCGCCAAGATCCATCACCAGGCGTGTCACGTTGTCTACACCGATTTCCGTCCGACACCCCTTCAGAATTACTTCTTCCCTGCAGGCGGCAGTGGTATATTCTTGGTCGTCGATGAGAAGGGCGTATTCAGAGAAGGCAACTTCCAGAAGACCATGGCCCTTATTGAGGCGGGCAAGGGACAGGACCCCAACAACGCCAACGCGAGCTGGAAGGGCAAGGGTGCAAAGAAACAGACCCAGAAGGGTGGACAGGCGTCCGACATGAAGTCTGACATATCCAAAATTATTCGCATGATCATGCAGAAGAGCTTCCACCCTGTCATTGTCTTCAACTTCAGCAAAAAGGAGGTCGAGAACCTGGCTTTGCAGATCTCCCACTTCCAGTTCAATAACGACTCCGAGCAGGCCATGGTTAAGACCGTGTTTAACAACGCCATTCAGAGCTTATCTGAGGCTGACCGAGAGCTTCCTCAGATTCAGAACCTGCTCCCTCTGTTGCAAAAGGGCATTGGTGTGCATCACTCTGGTCTTCTTCCTATTTTGAAGGAGACTATTGAGATTCTTTTCCAAGAGTCGCTCATAAAGGTGCTTGTCGCAACCGAGACCTTCTCCATCGGTCTGAACATGCCTGCCAAGACCGTCGTCTTCACTCAGACGAACAAGTGGGATGGAGTTCAACGGAGACCTCTCACTCCGTCCGAGTACATCCAGATGTCTGGTCGTGCTGGTCGTAGAGGTCTGGATACGCGTGGTATTGTCATCATGATGATCGACGACAAGATGGAGCCTGACACTGCCCGCGGCATGGTCGTGGGTGAGCAGGACCGTCTTAACTCCGCCTTCTACCTTGGCTACAACATGATTCTCAACCTGTTGAGAATCGAAGCCATCTCTCCTGAATTCATGCTTGAGCGTTGCTTCCATCAGTTCCAGACAGGTGCTAGCGTACCAGCGTTGGAACGGGACTTGGTCGCTCTCCAGCAAGAGAGGGACAGCATGTCCATCGCTGATGAGGCTACCGTCAAAGACTACTACAACCTTCGCAACCAGCTGGAGCAGTACACCAGCGACATGCGTGCTGTCATCCAGCACCCAGAGCACTGCACCGACTTCATGCAGCCTGGCCGTTTGGTTCGTATTCATGACCCCAAGAAGACCAACAATACCATTGGTGGCACCGACTTCGGCTGGGGTGTCGTGGCGAACCTGATCCGTCGTGATCGTAACCGCAAGCCTGGCGAGCCCGAGTACCCTCCTCAGGAGTCCTGCCTCATTGATGTCATGATGGTCGTGGACCAGAAGAGCGCACCCATCGCCGAAGGCTCCAGACATTTGACCTCGGATCTGCCATCAGGTCTGGTTCCCTACTCGAATCCTGAACAGCCGGACAATGGAGCTCGCTTCGAGATTATCCCTTGCCTGTTGACTTGCGTCAAGACAATCAGTCAGATTAGAGTCTTCATGCCAAAGGACTGTAAGTCCCAGTCTGCCCTCAACGAAGTCGGAAACTCCCTTCGCGAGGTTCACAGACGCTTCCCAGACGGACTGCCCATCTTGGACCCCGTCGAGAACATGGGCATCACCGACGAGTCTTTCAGAGCTTTAATGAGGAAGATTGAGATGTTGGAGGCGCGTCTTCTTACCAACCCACTTCACGGATCGCCGCTGCTGCCAGAGCTGTACCTCCAGTATCGCGCGAAGGAAAAGCTCGGCGAACAAATCAAGTCCAAGAAGAAGGAGATTGCGAGACTCCACAGCATTGCCCAGATGGATGAGCTCAAGGCGCGCAAGCGTGTCCTACGCCGTCTTGGCTTCCTCAACGAATCGGAGGTTGTCGAGCTCAAGGCTCGTGTCGCTTGCGAGATCTCGTCGACCGAGGGTCACGAACTTGTTCTTGCCGAGCTTCTGTTTGATCGCTTCTTCAACGAGCTCTCACCTGAGCTCATTGCCGCGACGCTCAGTTGTTTCGTCTTGGACGAGAAGCTTGAGACAGCGCAGCTGCGTGAGGAATTGGCCAAGCCCTATCGGGAAGTACAGGCCAAGGCGAAACAGGTTGCCAAGGTCAGCCGGGAGAGCAAGCTTGAACTCAATGAGGAGGAGTACCTGGCTGGCTTCAAGTGGCAGTTGATGGAGACTGTCTACTCATGGGCACAAGGCAAACCGTTTGCAGATATCTGGTACGTTACCCCCCCAAGCACTCGTTGGATTTGATCCACTGACACGTTACAGCAAAATGACAAATGCCTACGAGGGCTCACTTATCCGCCTCTTCCGTCGCCTGGAAGAGCTCCTGCGCCAGATGGGCCAGGGCGCCAAGGTCATGGGCAGCGACGAGCTCACCCAGAAGTTCGAGGACAGTCTCGCCAAGATTCGCCGTGACATCGTTGCGGCCCAGAGTTTGTACCTGTAAAACTCAAAAAAGGTTTGTCTCAAGACTTTGGCCACCTCTTTTTTACTGGCAGTCGCCGAATAGCCCTCCCGCCTCCCCCTTTCCAGCCCGTTGTACTTTTGTTTTTTTAGGTAGCCCCAGGGACATCATGGCGTTTGCAGGTTATTCGAGGTTTTATACCATGCATGTAGAATCTTTGTGTGTGCGGATTCGGAGTGGCGGCTCTCAAAAAGTCGCTTTCTCCATGGCCACCAATGAAGCAGATAATGGCCCTTTTTGTGTTTTCGCTGTCTCTATCTATGTGATTCATGCTGCGCTCCCCCGGTCTTCCCTTCCTGATGCTTGGTATAATAAAGTGGAAGAAACCATCACCTGAAATCAATGAGCATCCATCTCTCAACGCCCAAACCCCTAGTAAGAAAATGCGCAATCATACTACTGATTGCCCGAGAAAGCCACGGTGACGCCCATGTATAATACAGCATAATGTGACACCCGTCGCAAAGCATTCATGCAAGCTGCCCGAAGGCATAACCCCTCCCCATACCCAGGTCCACAAGAACGTTGTAAGCCAACATGGCCTCGCTCTATCGATCGCCCGAGAAGGCTCTGATGACGCCAATAATGATGCTCAAGGTAACACCGAACCCAATGAAATCATGCCACCGGCCAGAGAGCATATTTTCCTCCCTCGACAGCCAGCCCAGGCACCCCAATGGCCAAAAGAAGCCGACAATCAGACCCTCGATAAGGACGTCTAGTATGCCGCTCATGACGCCAAATGCATCATCCCCACCGCCGCCGCCGCCGTTCCCGTCGGCTCCGTCCGCCCCCGCCCCCGACCCACCGCTTGGTAATGCGCCGCCGGCATTGGTATCTATCCAAGTGTCCTCGAGCGAGCGCATCGTGTCCGGGCTGGGCATCGTGTCGGGCGTGTACTGGGTCGCGCGGATCTCGCGGAACTGGAGGCGCAGCTGGTTTACCTCGGCCGCCGTAAAGCCTGCGTTGAGTAACCTGTCGAAGCCCCTCGGCGTCGGACGTTGCTGGTGGTGATGGTGGTGGCTGCTTTGGGTGCCATAGGAACCGCCGCCTTGCTGGCCGTGGCCCTGTCCATCCCCTAGTCCGGAGGAAGGCGCGGTCGCTCCGCCCCGCTCCGAAGGCGCGCGTAGAGCTGCCTCGGCTTCGACGGCGAGTTCCTCGTCAGTGAGACTGTCGCCGATGCTGCAGTTCACGTAGACCCTCTGCGGCGGCGCCGTCTCGTGTGCGTTCGCCTTGCCTTTCCCCTTTGGATCATCGAAACCGGCGCCGGGCGTCGACGGCGTTGTCGGATTTGAGGAGGACGGGTAGTGTTGTGGTGGAGGCGGCAGGGGGCGGAGGACGGCGCTGAGGGCGGAGGCGTCGGGGAGGATCTTGCCCTGGTGAATGAAGCGGAGGCGGCGCTGGGAATCAGGTTGGGCGAGGCGGCCGCGGATGAGGTGTTTGAGGGCGGCGACTGTTGTTTGCGAGGGGGAGGGGATGTCGAGGTCGAGGTCTGGGAGGGAGGTTGTGAAGCGGATGCGGAGGAGGAGGGGAGGGGTCCATGGGCGCGGGGTTGTCATGTTGGCGGCATTGTTTTGAGAGGACTGTGGAGTGGTAAGTCGGGCGAGCTAAAGGGGGTTTTGTGAATTTTATATTTGGTTTGAATTTGTGTTTTGGGGAGCTGTAGCTTGGAGCTTGTCGGACGAGAGACCCTGAATTGGAGCTGGGGTGACATTCTCGATGACACTTATCGTTATCGCACACTGTTTACAACATATCAGACTAGGCATCCTCTTATGCATCTAAAGGGTCACAGGCTGGCCAAATCACCCTGTGTCGGAAAAAACAGGTTAAAAGCAACTAACTGCCCGAGACTTCACTTCACATGGTTTTATATCTGGCTTCCGGTCTACATGGCTATTTTCCTTCTATTGAATTTTAAGCCAGTGAATAAATAGACATCCTGTTATTCGTTCATCGCTGGCTTTTTCTATTGCCTCTTGGACCATTTCCGCATCCAGGTGTAAGTCAGCACCGACTTGGACATGGAGAATACGGCTGGCTGCATTAAACCCCTGCTATTACTTGCGCACCCGCGCTCAAGACCCCGCACCTCCGAGAATCTGAACCTTGCACAAAGAAAAAAATATAAAAAAGAATTGCGGTGTTGCCAACCTCAAAACGTTCCACCTTTAATCAGTCACATAGACAAAAGATATGATCAGTGGGAGGCTTGAACTCCCGGCCTTGGCATTACACAACATTTCAGGTGAAATATTAGTACCACGCTCTGACCAACTGAGCTAACCGACCTATGCTGATTAGTACGATATCTGGCGGCATTGCTCACTGTATTTCGTGGGTGGAGCTGTGAGTCATGCTCAAGCCCGCGATGGCACCTTGGGATCTCCACAACCCCTCCTTGAAGAGCTACAGAAGGCCCTGACACGCACTACATTAACCAAGTCCCTGAGACCTGATACTAAAGGGCTACTACGGGATACAGTTTAGATATACCGCCTAGGCCGTCCTTTTTTGACCTCTCCGAAAGTCACCCCGCTCTGAGACGCTTTGTCGCAGATTGCTCTAAACTCAGTGCCACTGTCAGAAGTCAGCATTATCCCTGAGAGCAATTGGTATCGGGCGACGCTGCTCATGATACAGTTGCGGAGCAGACATCCCGAAGAGAACTTGCAGTCGATAAGCCATCAAAACAACGGGGACACAGTTTCTTTTCGCCATTTTTACTAGTACTCACTTTCAATCACACAGATCATCACCACTTCTCACCGGTTCTGATCTCCTTTCATTACTTTCGACCATGGTTTGGCAAGGGTTTATTACACATATCTATCTCATAACGAGTCGGACAATAGCAGTCTAGTTGAGCTACGTTGCTTCGAGATAAGGTAGGGCAACAGCTCAACTTTAATCTTTTGGCTTTGGTCTGAGGTGAGTAGTAAAACATCAAGTCACCTCAAGATTGGCAGTTCCCAGAATTTGAGGACCCAATGCTTTCCCATCTGGGTGTTTCTCCCTACCCTGAACCTTCGATTAACAACTCAGCCATCCCGGTGAACTCTATCTCAAAGCCCAAGTGTTGACGATGATTAAAAAGTCGGAGCCAGGCTCCATATCGGCGTTTAGTCAGCCGACGAATTGCTCCATCACTCGGACAACTGCGCCCCCTCACAACCCCGGCCTCCCCATCCGTCTCCCCGGAATCCTCTCCTGAAGTTCCGTGTCACGCCCCATCGTCAAATCCACAATTCAATCCCATCAGCGCCAAAGCAATCGACCCCTTGCTGCGGTCTTCATTAGCCCAATATCCGACCTTTCGAGCGAGGCCTTACCACAACTCGCTCGCAAATCTCTAGTAAAAGAAAATGCCGCGCAGGAGAGACCCGTCCAAGCAAGTATCTCGACGAAGCCACCGCGGCTGCCACCGCTGCCGTCTCCACAAGATCCGATGCGATGAGGTCAAACCTCACTGCGGGCCGTGTACCTCCCGTGGCTACGCCGACTGCATCTACGCCCGAATCCTCAAATGGGAGACGGACTATGTCGGCCGCGCCTTTGGGAGGGCCGGGGTGTGGTCGAAATCTGGGATTGCTGGCAATAACAAGAATAAATCCGCGACAACGCTTTCGACCCTGGACAACTACTCGAGTCTACCTACCTACGTCCACTCTTTTGGCTTCCTGAACTTTTTTATCGCCGATTTTGAGAGGGAAGAGTCTTCAACGTTCTCCAGCGATGACAGCTCCACGGATGATCGCAAATCGGCAGCTCTTACACTGAGAAAGAAGTTGGACTCCATCAAACGGCCGGTAAAGTACGTTCAACTTGACAGCCAGGCCGAATCGCACTTGCTATCTTATTACCTTGATCGAATTTGTCCCATGACAGTCCCGTGCGCCAAAAGCGAATCTCCCTTTTCCGCCCTCGTCTTCCCCTTTGCCGTCTCCTCCGCCTCGCCGGCCCTCATGCACGCCTTACTAGGCCTCGCCGCATCGCACAGAGCGAGGTCAGATTACACTTATCAGCCGGTAGCTCTAAGTTATTCGGCCAAGGTCATCCGATCGCTGCGCCTGACCCTCGAAAACAAGTCGTCCATCGACATTGCGGCCAACTCGGAAATCCTCGTCCTGATAATGCTGCTATGCCAGCTGGAAATCATTGCAGAATGCAACAAGCGCTGGGTCACGCATCTGCGAGGGGCCCGAGACCTCATCAGGTTCAGACGACGAGGCATGACTTCGGACGCCGCTAAGATGGCGGCGCGGCAGCAGAGCCCCTGGCAGCGAATCATCAAGTTCACCGAGCGGTACTTTGCGTTTCACGACGTCATGGGACGAACCGCCTGCGGCGAGGAGCCCATCTTTGGCAATGACTTTTGGTCCGCGCAGGAGGACGAGCGGCTCGACCTCTGGATGGGCTGCTCGCCGCACCTCGTCAGCATCATTGGCGAGATTACGGAGCTCAGCTTCAAGTATCACCATACGTCGTCCGCGACGGCGGAGGACTGCTGGCAGGATCTCGAGCGCCAGCGTACGAGGTTGACATTTCTGCTTCAGCAGCCGCATCTGAAGAGCGACAGCGAAGACAAAATCATCAAGAATACCGTCGAGCTGAAGCGGCTGACGGTGGAGCTATATCTTCACTCTGCCCTCGACGACTCCACTCCCGCAACACCAGTGATCCGGCAGAATGTGAAGAAGATCTTGCGCCTCGTCGCGATGCTGCTTAAGGCAGGTGTAAAAGCTGGGCTCACGTGGCCACTCTTCATGGCTGCTTGTCAGCTCGATCCCACAGAGGAGCTCGAATGGGCCGAGGTCGACGCTGACGACGAATCGACACCACGCTACGCACGGCCGCTTGTTCTTTATGCACTCGATCGGTTGGCAGATTCACTCTCAAACGTCACCCGGACGCGTTCTGTCATCGAAAAAGTCTGGAAGCAACGAGAGGCGGCATCATTCCTGTCTTTGGATCACCAACTTTCCCCCAGTCCCAAGGCGTTTAATGATTGGGCTCGATTCGTTGCGCCACTCTGTCACAACATTAGCCTTGCTTGACCTACATAATTCAGGCGCCAACGCGTCTCCAAAGATGAATGCAAGTCTTGATGGCCTTGTGCGAAGCCAAGAACCCAGTTTCTGTGATGTGTTGTGCTTACGTGTAGCGGCGACATGCGAGTGTTATGACGCAATGTGTTAATTAGTCGTATTAAGTGTGTCTTCTTGGGGTTCACTACTGGAAACCATGGTTTATCAGTGCCATGAAAGTACAGGAAATTCTTTGACTGATGATGGACAACAGAACAAGACGTGGCTAAGACCAGGTTGTAGGGCCAAAAGTGCCATTAAGCGGAATAGCTTTCAAGGGAATGCCTTGGCCGTCGATTGTCGACTGTTGAATGTTATTACCCCACCAACTGAGCTGGACACCGGGGAAAACCAGAGCAAAGAAGATTACGATGGCAGAAATCGCTAGGCCAGAGTCGAGAGCCGCCGATAGGACGTAGTTGTACTGTCATTACCATGTCAGTATAAGGACCGCCCAATCTTGGGAGGCGAGCCATTGTGTCAGTAGAGGTACATACCTTTGCCCACCATTGCGGGAATTTGCCTTTGAGCCACTTGTTGAAGATGAAGGAGACCACAAACGCCGAAGTGTAGTTGAGCCCGGTGGCAGGAGGCACGTTGCCCGTCCCGGCGAAGAAGAGGGGCCAGTGAAGGTATCTTAGGAACTTATTGTCTGGAAATCTTCTCTTGAGAAAGAATGTCATTACAGGCAGCAGTGCACCAATCCAGAACAGGTGCAGCAGGCCAGAGTAAATCTTGCCGACGCTGTATAGCCGAGCGGGGCCGATGGCACCCCAGATGATGCTCGAGGAGAAGTTGACTCGTCCTTGCGGACATGTGTAGCCGTTGGGCTGGCTTTCGTGGCAGATGTCCTTGACGTGGTTCAGCATCCACAGGAGAACGGCGTTCTGCGTAAGAGAGCCGATGATGCAGGCGGTCAGCTGGGCTACGAACAGCGTTCGCCGGGGTATCTTCATGTAGAGGCCGAGCTTCATGTCCGAGGAGAAGATCATGGCTTGACTGAGCCCCGTGTAGGCGTAGAACTTGAAGATGAGCATGACGATGGGCTTCCCTGGAATGGCGTATCCTGAGATGATTTCGCCAAGGACGGTGAGAACATTGCTGTTGAGGTTTGCGACGGCGTAGACACTGCCAGTCGGGATCAAGTAGATCAAGGCCAAACCGAAAGCTAAGAAAACGCCCCAGACTGGCATTTGGGTCTTGTAGACCTCTTGCACGATGATGGTCAATGCCAGGACAACGGCGGTCATGATGCCGTACCACCACCATGGCGTGTCCGGGTATCTCTCGATCATGCGAGTATGGACGTCCTTTTTCCGACTTGGGTTGAATGCACCGACGATGTCTCTGTAATAGTTGATGAAGATGTAGGTCGGCACGCAGGTCATGGTTGCAAAAGATGTGCCGTAGCTGAGCGCAAACGTTACTGGCATGAAGAGAGGGCTGTATTTCTCATACTCTTCCACGATGAAGTTGCCGTTTTTGCCCACTATGCGAGTAACGTTGTAGATCTTGCCGGTGTTATCGTAAGTATCTGCCCCCGAGAATGGGAGGAACGCGGTATACCACGTGTTGGTATAGTACAGAATGGGTGTTGCGAGGGCGAAGAGAATGACCCATCCGGCAAAGACGTTTGCTTGGGCCCAAAACGGAACAACCAGAGGAGATCCGTTGTAAGCGATCTGAGACCAGTCGAAGGTGACAGGTAGGTAGGCCAAGCCCGTCGACATGCCGAATAGGTTGTTGACCACCACGTTGTCTGCTCTTGTCAGTGGATCGGAACCATCATCAACTCCACATGGGACTTACTTGGCGCGGCCCAGCACACAAAGGCAAATGTGCTCAGACCGGTGAAGAGATACCCGGGTAGCCAATACCAAAGAAAGCCGCCGGCAAAGATATATAGGAAGAACCGATATCTCGTGATCCTCCAGCCGTCCGCGATGGGGTTCGCCCGACCATGAAGCGTCTGAAACAGCGCCGCGTTGGCCAGCGTCGAGGGCCAGATCATATGAGGAGGCTCTACGATGAAGCGGTACGCCAACCCAGCCATACCAAGCCCGAATAGCTGCATCGACAGGCCGAGCAAGAATTGATACGCGACAGGTGTGTCGAGTCCATAGAACGCCGACGCCTTTTGCGCCTGGATGATATCGGTGGCCCACGACGGCCCGAAAGACAAGTTGGACATGATGGTGATGACCGCGTGCTCCTTGATATTGAAGTAGTGGTCCGGGTTGATCACCAAGTCCCAGCGACCAAAGACGCGCACCTTTTTCACCGGCAGGATACGGGCTACGGCGCAGCCGACGGGGTAGGCGATGAGCTGTGCCACCAGAGACGAGATGGTGACGCCAGGATAGCGCATCGAGAAGAACTGGTTGATACCGGTGCCGATCATGGTGAAGAGGACCCCGAGAACCCACATGCGGAGCGTGTTGACGGGTACGGTCGGATCGTCCGTGTTAGGCACGTTGGCGCGGACTTCGGGGTACGGCGAGTTGTCGGATTCGATGTCAAAATGCTCCTCGATCTCGTCAATGGCGTAGGTCATCGCCTTGTCCAGGTCGTCGACATCGCGGTCGCGAGATTCCACATCGGGTTGCAGCTGCGGCCCCTCCGCCGCCAATTTACCGTGCTGGTCTGTCGCGTCAGACATGATGACCGGAGGTGAGTCCGAAAAGTGTTGATGTGAACGAATGGCGATTTGAGCTGGTCTGAACTTTACTACTGATGCGGAACGGTGACTTTAGGCCTGTAGTTATATATTACCGTTGCCGTTGAGCCGAGATGCAAGTCTCACATGGGCGAACTACCAGGTATCGGCCTTCAGGAATATGAATCCTCCATCACAAGCTGTCTTTCTCGACCTGGTCTCCAGACCCCGCAGTCGAGATAGGCGTGGCGCGGGCGTTTCTCCATGATACGCTGGCTATTGAAATTTAGAAGTGACCGGGGAAGAACACTGTGGAAGGTCCAAGCTATCTGGCCTGAGCTACCGCGACTTCACCCGCGGCCCGTTTACGTGTACAGCCATTGTCGTTGTGAAGAGATGGTGAAATGCGCCAGTAATGTGGAGCTGTGAAAGCTTGTTGGCGTGTCCAGGGTTCCGACGTTACATCTCCGAGGCCGGTGAGGAGAGACGAGGTGGAGGGGAAGGTCCAAGCCGGCATAGATCCCTGAAATTGACTGGTTAGATGCGTGCTTTACATGGTAGGGGTCAGGCTAGTAACTGTGCAAGACGAGGGGTGAGACAAAGAGCCAATGGGATGGCGATGTTTTGACCAAGTTGGCCCTCTTTTGGAGAGTTGTTTGGGGGTATGGCAACGCCGACTTGGTCACTACATATCTCATCGAAACGTACCGAGAAGCGCCTTCGAAGCATATTTCAACTTTGAAATTGGAACAGTTCATTTTCAAATCTCCTCCCCTTGTTCGAAAATAATCGAAACCATTCGTCAGCAATGAACGTCGATACCCCCTCTCTACCAAAGACATCAAGCATTGTCATCCTCGGCGCGTAAGTCGGCCAGAACTATTTCGGCCTGAGCCGTTCTAACTATACCTCGATAGGGGCACATTTGGAATCAGTACCGCATATCACCTTGCCAAGCGTGGCTACACCAATGTCAGATGCCTCGATCGTCACCCTATTCCCAGTCTTGATTCTGCGGGGTACGACCTGAACAAAATCATCAGAACGGAATATGATGAGCCGCTGTACACCGAATTGGCTCTTGAAGCACTCAATGCTTGGAGGTGTCAAGAGTGGCAAGGGATCTTCCATGAGACGGTCGGTCAAAATTTTCCCATAACCATCATCGTTTTCGTTCAGCTCCTCATAAACCTCGCAGGGTCGCATCGTGACGACTTTAGGGGACCCGCTGGCAGAGCAGCACCTCAAAGAGTCGTACGAGAATCTCAAAAAGGCTGGTCAGGCTGGCAGCCTTGAAATGGTGGAGGGCAAAGAGCAGATTGCCAAGCACGTTCCTCAGCTCCGCGGCGCAGACGGAATCGAGAACTGGAAGGGACTTTGGAACAGCCAAGGCGGCTGGGCACATGCGAAGAAGTCTCTCGAGAAATGGGGCAAAGAAGCGCAGGACATGGGCGTCGAGTTCATATCGGGTCCCAAAGGCACCATGACTGGGCTGAGCATTGACAGTTCAGGCAGGCTTGACGGGATCAAAGTCGCCTCTGACGACGTGGTTCGCGGGGATCGATATATCCTTTGTACTGGAGCGGCGTCACCAGAGGTACTGCCAGAGTTATCCCGGGAGATGTGGACGAAATGCTGGTCCCTGGCCCACATCGAGTTGAGTGATGAAGAGGTTGTTCAGTGGAAGGGGATCCCCGTAGTCGACAATTTTGAGCTGGGCTTCACATTCGAACCGGATCCAGAAACCAGTAAGTGCCATGACACTAATACACAGAGATCTGTCTGCTAACAATCCTCTTAGAGTGGATGAAGATCTGCGACGGATCCCCAGGCTACCAGTACCAAGTCGGCACTTACACCGACCCCTCGGGCAAGGTGGAACACTACTCGATCCCTCGCTACGCGAGCACGCACCCCGACGACGGAATCCCCGACGAAGCAGCTACGGCTATCAATCGCTTCATCGACACGGTCATGCCGCAATTCTCGGGTCGGCCGCTTCTGGGCGCACGGGTGTGCTGGTGCACCGACTCTCCCGACTCCCACTGGCTCATTGATAACCACCCGAAGCACCCATCGCTACTACTGGCCACAGGCGACTCTGGACACGCGTTTAAGATGTTCCCCATCATCGGCGACTACATTGCAGATGCTTTGGAGGGGAAAGAAAGGGGGTTGAGGAGGGAGTGGAAGTATGGCAACAGAAAGTCGAAGCCTGTGGCTACGAGGCCTGGTACAGAGGTGAAAGACCTACGAGATATGCTGCACTTGACAAGTGCATGAAGAAAAGATGAATATGAAATCCATAAGTGTAGTCTATTAGCCCAGGTACCGAGAGATGTACCTATCCGAGGCAAAAGACAGAGCAAGGTCGAGTCTTCATCCCCTGGGACTGTGATGGTCTGGCCATGGCACCTCGTACTCAACCCGCGTCTCTGTGGTGACCCTGATACCGTTCATGCTTGCCACTCTCTGCGGCGGCTTCCCTCGGCGGGTGGTTTCCACCACTGGTTGTATCTCGTCGATCATGACTGCGCTTCTATCATCTGCGTCTATGACATTCGACTCTATGATGGTCTTGCGGTGACTGTTGCTATCTTTGCGGAATGCATTACCGGACCATAGCCTCGCAATATCTTCCTTGGACCCATTCTTGCGCACATCGTTTGAAGAAAGAGATAGGTCATCACGCGAGTGCAGCGCGTAAGCCTCTGACTGAACATTGCGCCGCTTCTTGTTGGCTTCGATTGTGGTCGAGTATGGATTTGAGTGCTGGTAATTCTGGTACTTTGGAGTTGTTTTCTTCGATTTGGAGCCGGTGATGTGCGACGTGACAAACAAGGGCAGATAGCGAACGAAGAAAGGCTTGAGCGCCGGAACGGAGGCGCAAACGATACCGGCGTTGACTTCGATCGACGCCCAGTTCAGTTGCTTATCGATGTCGAAAGTGTAGTCCGTACTTTTGAACAGAGGCGGTAAAAGAATCGTGCGTCTGATGGCACATATACAGACACTGGCAAAGAGATCAGCACCGGTTCGTATACTTTTGCATGAGACACCAGCTTACAAGCCTCCTGTAGCAAAGAGTAGGATTAGGGACAGCTTCTGCCGCTTGGCCATATGCAGAGGTATGATGATCTTCAGAGGAAGAACAAGGCACACGACATCCATGATGATGTTGGTGGCACTGAGCACCAAGTAGACCGGGTTTTTGTCGATACATATCGCTCCCTCCCTCACCGAAAGATCCCATGAGGCCTGGATTGGCCTGCAGCTAAGCAGAATGAGAAACATGTATACCAGTGCATATGAGGTTGCGAAGCCAATGAGGGTCATTGTCACGATCCTGAACCACCGCTCGGGTGAAAGACGCAAGTAAAGGACGAGGAGCGACAGTTTTGCCGTGGTTACGCTGAGTGAGTAGACCACTATCGTGACGATGCTATGCTGAACTACTGCGTTAGTTCAAGGTCTTCGGGATCTGTGAATGGTCGCTGAATCCCAAGTCAATCTAACGAAAAAAGTACAACTTACAAGGAGGAATGAGGGCGAGTAGTCGGCTTGCTCGACTTGCCAAAGGTGAGCACCCACGCCGAGCTCGCACACTGCTGAAATTAGACACGCCTTCGCCACACGTGGCAACTGAACGGGGCATTCTCACATTTGACTGAGAGCCCATAGAAGATAATGGCCAAAGCCAGCGAAATACCAATGAGATCTGCATGAGGGAGGATTAAAACAGAATTGACATATAGTTGGAAGAATATTACTCACAGTCATCGGGACCAAGTCCTCGTCTCACAAGGGATAGCCTCGTGAAGGCTCGCAGACTGACGAAGATGATGGAAAGTGAAGTCAGTATTCCGCCCAACGCAAGCGCGCTGGTTGTGATGGTGCCTGCATCGAATCGCCCTTGGCCCTCTGGCGGCTCGGCCATGTATTCGGGCTCGGAAGAGGCCATCTGAACATCCAACGACGAGTCACGCCTCCTAGGCCGAGAACAAGGAGGTCACTGGTGGGAAAGGAGCTCAGGAACGGAAAAGGAGCACAAGCCACCACGAGGACCGAAACTGATCATTCGGGAACTTGGGTTGATTTATTCACAAGGAATGGCATGCTGGGGTCTTGGTCATCCCTTGGAAACCTGCTGTGTTACTCCATCGGAGCGTGCATGTGGTGCACAGCCCAGGCAATGGGGAGGTTCCGCGGCGACAGGGAACTGACAAGCAAACAGAATTTTTGCCGTGTCAGCTTACGGTCTGTCAGCGGCGGAAATTCCTTCACTTTTTCACAAGGAATCTTGCCCAATGTTTGAGTGGACAACTTTCCGAAGCGAAGTCCAGGTCATCTCAATGGGATCCGCCCAAGCGGCCGTCTGTGATAAGTCGGGGGGAAAATAAGCAATATGTTGTCTGAGATTCAAGCCCCAACTTATTTCCCGCTATTATTCTGACGCGTGAAAACTGACAGCTGACATGTGCCAGTGCTCTTTGTTTTCTTCCGCGATCCTCTTTCCGAGATTGAGATTGAGGACCATGGTTCCGAAAGCAAGCAAGCACATTTCGACCTGACTTCCATGAGAGATCCGCAGCCGACTTTGCGAAATCTGGGGCTTCTCTGGCCGAGTCGCCTCCCCTATACCCCCTTACAGCCCTAGCATTGTCCGTGGGCAGCCATTCTCCCCCTTACTGCATCGAGCTAGTCTCCCTTGTCGAAACCCCACCGTCCTCATCTTCGGAGGCACGCCGCACAACCAACAGAGAGGCAAGACAAGCTAGGGTGGGGTTCTCGCGCTGGCATTCGAAAAAGAAACAACACTCAGCATTCAAATATCTCTACCAATGATTCGCGCTGGTATATATGGGGCTCTAGGCTTTGCAACCCACTTCTGCAGCCCCCGTACGAGTTATCGGCTGGCATGCCCAGAGCAGAAAACCCATTCTGAGATGGGCCAAGAAAGAATTAACCGGACGTCTCAACTTGATACTTTCGCCTGTGAGGCATCATCGTGCTGTATCCTATCATTTGAGGCTACATGTATGTATATGATTCAAACTTTAGAAGATACTGAGATGCTCGTGTCGGGTGATAAGATCCGGGTATTGACAGCTTTGCCTAAGTCATAAATCTGTAGCTAAATTATTCGAGCAAGTCTGCTGATATTCTCTCGCCGTTGAAAATCAGTAGAAATTTCCCAAACAACATATTCGACTCCCGGCTTGGCTGTTGCTAATCAAACCAGAATGTGATTTGGGAGATGACTTCGTGTCCACAGCCAACAGTCCGAGCCAGCACCAGCCTTGAGAGTCGACGAGTAACCTGGGAAGTTCGACCTGGCATTGCCTCAATGTTCGAGGACAGTGAATCCCAGCACAGTGCCGTCGGCGGGCCTTGCAGTTTTCCACTTGATTGATACCTGTCCCCCCTACCCCCAGTGATATATCTGCGCCGCTGCTAGGGTCTGTGTTTGCTTTCTGAACTCGCTTCAGGATATTGATCCTGCTTCATGAGACAGACCCGAAAATATTGGCTGATGATATCCTTGACTTCAATGTTGGCAATCTTGACTATGATTAACAACATTTCCGCCCAAAACTTTCGTTGCAAGGCGCTCTCGTGTGAAAGATCTCCCAGAGTTCCGGCAGCTAATCCTTAAAGGTTCGATGATTCGAATGTCTCTCATCTTGGAGAATAGGAGTCTGCCCATTTGCGTAGTTTGATATAGGGAGGTGCTTCGGTGGAACCTGCGTCGTGTCTCTCATCCGTGACGGGACTCAGTAGTATTTTCGCTCATAGGCCAATGCCTATGTATTTTTCAACGCCACGCCAGATCCAAAATTTGCAGCTGCTTTGTAAATAGAAAAGAATAACGCCAAGCTATCATGAGCCCTGCTCCGGTCTGGTGGGTGAAGATAGGTGCATGGTCAGAGGGTTCCTTGCGTTGATGCTCCCTATGGCCCGCTGGCTCGAGATATTTCCTTCCAAATCCCCACCTGTGCTCCCCGCAACAGTCGATATGTGTGTCATTTGTGCCACCAATGGACTTATCGTGCTTGTGGGTGATTGTGGAGGCACACTGGGTGTTTGTCGTCTTTGTCCCGCCGAATCGTCAGTCGCCCCTGGCAGAGGTCTTCGCGAGCCTTGACTGCTATATCTCGAAGTACCAGAACACGCCAGAAGCGGCCGCATGATCGGAACGCACGCACAGACGACTGCAGACGTGGGCTCGGCCATGCTCAGGAGAACCAGCGGAACGGCTTGATAGACCGCATCGTCGCCGCTGGTGGCAGAAGGCAGGCTGACGATCCTCAATACCGAGATTGCGCTGGTGCTGTGCGTGGTTCAGAAAAGAGGTTGGGCGATGAAGACGCAGGCCTACTTACAAGATTCCGACCCCGAAGCTGGAAATCAGGCCAGCTTTCTGCATCGTCGCAAGGCGCAGCTTTCCTACAAGTGCCAGTGGCAGTATGAAGATGACGACGTCTGTTGAGAGATGCACGGCGGCATTGACATAGCTGAATCTAAGGAACGGTCCATCCCCCAGGTCTGGGATAGTCGCGGGTTTCAGAAAATTCTTTGTGACAAGTATGGCAGAAATCAGCAGCCCCGACAGTGCCAGGAACATGATTCCCAAGAATATGTCGCAGAATAAAGTTATGTGAGGCAGTGCAAAGGCTCGACGGTACTGGAGGAGGAAGGTTGCTTTGATACAAGCGAAAGCCAATTGATACATGATAACTGCCGTTACCAAGTACTTTAATGGACGTCAGCAAATATCCTACAGTAAGTCTGGATGCCACTTTGTGTCCTCGTGGTCTTGACACTTACGCGGGGATCCTGCTGTAATTCTTCAGCTGACGATTCCCAGATATGCGATCCAAGACTTCCGTAGATCACGTCTGATTGATAATGAACACAGTCAGTTAAGGAGCCTAGTTGAAAAGATTCACGGCTGTATTTACTTACTACATAGTACTGTTGCACCTTGGACAATCACGAGAATCTTCGATGAAGCATCAGTAATGTGGTTATTGGTGGCTCTCAGCGGTTTGAAAACCTAAACTTACCGAAGACCAAATGAACATGGAGTCATCTAACCCCCATCCTCGCAAAAGGTACCCCCTGATGTAGATCCGGATGACCATAAAGACAGCCACTATGGCAATGAACATTGACATAATGCCGATGACCAAGGGCGCTCTGGTGTCGGTTGGTAGGGATGCGTCTGGAGCAAGCCCTCCAGGTGGTCCTGTCGTGTGGCTCATATTGGATATCCTGAGATTACGGCCGAAACGGCAAACAATGAAGCAGTCGACTAGGTGGCAAAGACCCGGGATTATGAGGGTTACAGGCAAGGTTCTTGCGTTTGTGGTAATCGAGTCGCGGGCTGATGTTTCTCTCATGGATCCGACCACATTTCAAAATGATGACTTGATCATGAGAAAGAATCCATGCTCGCGCCGGTTGTTTTGAAGATGTGATGCCCAGTTGGTGTCGTCGAAACAAGGGTCCCGGGGTGTCGGGATTTGAAGATGAAGGAGAATCAGAGGGGGCAAACCAGGACAAAACCCTCCAAACGGTCCCTCCAGGTGGGTGGCCACAGGGCATAGATTGAGTTGCCGCTATCTATCGGGCTGGCCGTATCTGAGGACGGATTTGTCTTGGAATGATGCGACCGCCGCGAACTGCCGCGCAAATGCATTCCTACACCGCACCCGGCTTGCGTGGCGTCATCCAAAGACTCTCATTCGTAGGGAACACCCGCAGCTATTTGAACTTTTTACATCTAGTTCTCTTTCTTCCCTCTCATAGGCAACAGGCAATGAGCTAGCATGCGTCGATTCATTGTCCCGCATCTTGGATCTAATCTGGACCGTCATGTCTTGCTAAAGTACGTACCATCACCTTGAGAGCCATCCATCACGAGCGGGCACTTATTATTTACCTCCTATATTTGACGAGGCTAGTACGGAGATGCCGTTCAAAAGTTTCTGCTGAGGCTGCTTAGATAATCTGACCTCACATGAGGATAAATACGTCTCACAATATCTTATTTATAATGAGATATTATAAAAAAGTAGACGGTCTAAAAGATTATTCTCAAGGCGTGTATAAGAGGTGTTTAAATTTATAAAATAGACTTGTATAATGATGCTGTTGACCAGGTGATATTCCCTGTCTTGTCTTGGCAGGCTAGCAGAAACTTTTGAACGGCACCTCCGTATTGTCTGAGACTTCATTCGGTTTGAGGAGGAAACGTGCAGAACCAAGTCCCAGTAATTGATTGTTTACTGTGCCAAAGATACAGTAGCCCTGCCCATTCCAGTCAGCAAATTGCCGTGATGAAGACATCATCGCCAGTAACACGGCCACAATGTTACAACCTCAACTTCCAACCTCAACTTTTCAAATTTGTCGGAAGAGGTGCGCTTTGCTTTGAAGCCACCCCTTATTCCCGCCTCCACTATCATCGACGCCAAGCCTTATCCTCTCAACTATGCGTCCAATGCAGTGTGGTTCATCATCCATGCAGGATGGCACTTCTTACACCATAGAATGCTACCCCCTTGCGCCTTGCTCTTGAAACATAGACCATTGGATATCCCAAACACAGAATTTTATAGATTAGGCTTGAATCTACCCCTGATGCGCTCACCGAAGATGTAGAAGACAAGAGGGATAGGGATCAACGCGACCGAGATGAATGCTAGCAAGCTGTTGCCCCATCCGAGGCCGAGGGTGTTGTACATCTCCAAACCTCCAAGGGGGAGAAGAGCACCAGCCAAGGATCGAAGAACAGCTAGCGCGGCGGTGACGGAAGCCGCGTATCGGGGGTACGTGTCGAGAAGGTAGTTTTGAATGCACATCTGCTTAGCGAATTAGTGACGCTCTTATATTCGTTTGCAGTATTAGGGCTTTCCATGACGCCCATGAGCCCAGTGGCAAAGATGACCACGCCGAGCATGGGAACAATGAAATGAACCCCCTTGTCAGTGGTCCATCCGTAGATGAAGAGTCCGATAGGGAGAACCACACCACAAGGTATGGTGAGTATGGGAGTAAGACGGGCCTCAGGTATGTGGACGAGTCCCTTTGCATTGTTTCTAATAACGATGAAGCCGGTGAGCGCGCCAAAGGTGACCACCCCAATTATCATACCGATACCGGCGGGGATGAAAGTGAGACCGATAGTTCCCTCGTCGAAGCCGTACTGGTCTCTGTAGACGAAGGAGAAAGTCGTGAGGAGTAGGTAGAGGATTCCGTACGCGATAGCGACATAGAGAGCCATGAGCGTGACGATTGGCGTAACGAAGAGGAGTTTCAAGGGTCGCACAATGGCGTGCTGGAACTTTTATTTCGTGGTGCAACCATCGTCGAGCTTGCTTTTGAGGTCCATGTTACCGGTTTCCATGCGCAGTCTAGCTGCCTTACGTTCGAGAATGAGAGGAGCAAAGGTCTCCTTCATCATGAGCCAGGAGAGGGGAATGAAAATTCCGGCCTGAAAACTGATCAGTATTCCGTACTTGTCTTATTTTGTTAGGAAGACACGTACCACAATTGCAACAAGCCAGTACACCCATCTCCATCCTGCAGCATTGATGAGATAACCTCCAGCAACGGGACCAATACAAGGTCCAAGAAGGGGTCCCAAAGCCCAGGCAGACATGGCACGGCCTCTCTGCTCGATTGGCATGATATCTGCGATGCTGCCACTGCCGATGGTCACTGGCACGGCACCAGCCAAACCCATGAGGAAACGGAATGCCAACATCGTGGCCATGTTCTGGGACAGAGCGGTTCCGACAGTGAAGATGGTAAAGAGCATGTTGCCGTAGATGTAGAGCCGCGCGCGACCCAAGACCTCGCTCATAGGAGCGATGATGAGAGGACCGAAGGCGAAGCCGAGAATGTAAACCGAGACGACAAACGTCGCTATGGTGGCCGAGGTCTCGCCGAATTCGACCATGATTTTGGGGATGCCGGGTGCGAACATTGAGGATCCCTGGGAAGAATTTTAGTGCTCGGTCGATTGGAGAAATCCTGCCACAAGGGCTTACAAGTGGCCTGTCGGGGTTAGGGTTAGCAGATGTACTTTGTCTTTTGGAATGGAGTCGAGACTTACGTGACAAAGGTCAACATTGAGATGGTGGCAATGTTGAGCCACTTTTGCCTTATGGGCCAATTTTGAGGATTTTCAGGATCGTCGGGTCCGTCCCAATCAACGAGGATGGGATTTTGGTTAGCCTCCTTGTCGGCGACATCTTTTGTGTTTCCCACTGGCTCCTGTCGATATTCGGGTCTGATGGCTGCGCCTTCAAGATCTGTGGCGTTGGGGCTGATTACTTTCTCAATGTCACCATCTATCGGGGTAGAGTCCGGGGATTTTGTATCCGCCATGGTGTGTAACAATGTGCTGATACCGAGGTGCCTGGTGTGTACGTATATCGTGTGTAAGTCGGTGGTGTAAGTCAGCTGCTGAACATAGAATCCGGGAGTGAAGTCCAGCGTAGTCGCTATTCGTAGGTATATAAAAGCAGAAATGTTTGGCTTGAACCTCAAAAACTAAAGCTCGAAAATCGACGGGAAGATAGTTACATTATGTTCGGCGCATGAGACCTAGAGTCACATAGGAACCCCGGGATTTTGAGAAGGGGGCCAGGTCCGGAATGCACAAAATTGTGCAATGGCTGGATCATACGCGGCACTAGTTGGACGGGATTGACTGGTTCCCACACTATTAATTAATAATCCGAAAGCGAGATACCCTGACAAAGCGAGCGCGAGCTACTCAGCGATTGGACGACACCTGATTGGCGCAGGGATTTACCCCCCTCCTTGAACATTAGACGGTCTGGAACCATTTGATGAGAGAAGGCAGAAAAGGCGGCGCTGACATGGCAGAACTAGGCAGGACACGGGGCACTGCGTGTTGATGGTTCGCTCTAGTGAAGGATTTTCCTCGCTTTTTCGTTCCCGTCGTGGCTCACCATCATGTCAGTCTGAATCTGATTGCCTGTTGGGAGACCAAGCGCTTCTATCAAAATATTAGACGGGTAATCTTCAGACTCCTGGTGCTTATTTCACCCCCTAAGTCCGGGAGGATGGTAGCCTCAACGTCTGCGTCCCCCCATTTCGGTATCCGTGCGGAACATAGAGGTAGGTAAATATCGGTAACGTGAACTTTCTCGTATTGGGTCAGGAGAGTCACATATCTTGCGTATCACGACTCAAATATGGGCGCAAGCTAAATATACTTAAACGCCCGGGACACCTCAGAATAGATCTATCGCACGACCGCGTCGAGCTTTTTTCTTAGTCTGGTGCGGCACACTGGAAGCGCCTTAACTGCATTCGAGATAGCAAGCGTACTAACCGCAAAGTGTCTATGCTGTTTGTCTATTACTTCTGCAGAACAAGTCATTCGGACCCGGGTTTGCATAAGCCAGTCCGGAGCTTGCATAACTCCCGCCGGCCAGGTCCCCTGCGGGGGAATCAAGACTTTAAATTGGCGTTCCCTTCCCCACCACCGAGTAACTGTTTAGGACGCGGAGGCGGATCTTGCCGCAGCGCCGGGCTCTTGCAAGGGCCCGCCATTCTGAATCTTTGTTCCTTTCAAGGCAGCAGTGGTAACCAAAAACGACCGAGGATGGAGTGTTGGGACCTTAATTGCATGTGCCAAGGCCCTCAGCTGTCGGACTTGGGGTTACAATTTGGCCAAGCATCGATCTTGTCCCAGGAGGGCCACCTTACTGGGTTAGTGGGCGATACAGGCGTTGAACCTGGATACGCGGATTGCTGATGTAATACGAGGAGAAATAAGAACCACGTCCTTGGATGGAGATTCCCTCCATTTGGGAGGCCGAAGGCGGCTCTCTAACAACTCCGCACCTGGAGTAAGTACGTCTACAAATCATTCTTAAATCCATAGTATCCCATCAAAATGTCGAACGCAACGCTGCAGGTCGAGCGAGTGCGCCATTCAAAGTTATTTGTGTTGTGAAGGTTGTTGACGCGACTTGAGCTATACGAAGTCTCATCTTTCTGCTAAGGTGAGGTTGTTTGTCGGCAACAGACCCTCATTTCACATGCTCTCGCTACGAAGAAAACTGGCAGTCTGAGCTGGTGGTTATCATGCTTCGGCTCCGGGGCTGATGCGGCGATGCATGGGGTTTATGTGGCTGAAGTTGAATGGGATGGTCGTCACTCTCGGTGCAGACCCAGTCAAGGACGAAATCCTTCGTTTGGCTCTCTTAGTGGCGCCAGAGAATGTTCAGGCGAGCCCTAGTATCCGATTGTCGAAAGAGACTGTCGATGCTCGCTTGGTCGTATATCTTTCGGTACCAAACATAAACAAGCAAACTTTGTAGATTTGCCAGTGTCGCTTTCGCAAAGCTGACCCAGTCATAAGGAGCATGACACCGCCCGCTGCAACTCTAGTGCCACTTTATCAAGGACTATATGTAACAGCTCCTAAGCGATACCATCAAAGCCTTTTCTTCATCTTTCATCACAGTCCAAAATGTGTCGCCCCCGGCCTGAGGCGAACTATTTCTTCTCACGTGGAATATTTGCCAGTCAATCTCCTCGAGTCTTAGGTTCTGATAAGGAGTGATAACGAAAGCATTGAAAAGAATTGATGACATAGCAAAAGAAGGTATTCATGTTGGGCTTTTGTCTTTGGTTACTTTCTGGCTTGCTTGACACTATTATCTGGTTAATATTGCGGAAAGACTTTCAGATTCAACTTGGGCTGGGCCTTGGAGGGGCGGGGGGCGAAGTTACCCTCTCATTGAAAACGCTAATAGAGGGAGGGGCACTTGTCACAGAGGTCTTGGTGAGCTGGCTGAGTTTTACAGCCAAGATAGGAGGCGACGAGTTTGAACAAGAGAGAAATAGCTCTGCTGGCCTTAAGGTTAATGCCCCACGATATTCCCCTTCGTGATCAGAATCAGGGCAAATGGTAATGACATGGGATTAAAGGATATGATAATTATCCCTGTCTTCGGAGCTGTATTTGTACTCATATGTTTGGACACAAAATTATGATGTTGAAATTTAAAATCTTGGCAGGTTTCCTGCTGTTTGATCAGGCAAACAAAGTTGCGACACATTGAGACAGACAGGAGTAATGATGCTAATGTGAAGGTAAAGATCTTATGTGATGGCCAAGCTCGTAACGCGATTGCCTGGTGCGAGATAGTCATGTAGCAGTTGGCATATTAGATACCAAGTGTCTGTAAAAGACAGAACGCAAAGTGCTAGTTGAGAATGAGTCCCACGAATAAGTCGAGTTCCATTGCAAAGTAAAGGTTGAGCTCTGTCACATGAGGTGGAGACGCGGTTTCAGTGGGGAGGGAAGGGCCTGCTGCTAGGCCGGGCCGGGGTACCTTAGTCCCTAGCTGTTGCGTAAAGCTACGCAATGACTTGCATTAGCGAATCTTCAGTGGGCATGCCCGCCATGTCGCGGCCCTGTCAGTGACCTCACGCTAATTATCCCTCCACTGGCGGGGTTATTTGACAGAAACATCACCACTCGACGCCCTCGCCCTCGACTCCCACGTCGCGTCGTCGCGAAAACGATGAACGCGTCCACATGTCCCCCAACGCGCCCGAAAAGTCGACGACCCCAGCCGAGGTAGCATTTGCCAATGACGCCGAGTCATTCGTTCCGAAACCCTTGATCAACGATCTCCTGCGCACCCGCTACTGCATTCCCGGTTCCATCTTCCTCGTCGAAGATGTCGAGTCGCTCCCTGTGCCACGGTCGAAACGATGGAGGACCATGCGGCTGATGCTGGGGGATGGCGAGCTCTGTATACAGGCTCTCCTCCGTGGAGAGATGCATCGCTTCCTGGACACTGGAGGCATCCGGGTCGGCTGCTACGTCCGCTTGGGAGAGTTTGCAATTCGTCTCCAGGACCTTGTTGGTGACGGCGATCGCTCGGGAGGGACTCGACAGATGGTTTGTCTGATTGTCCGTGACCTAGTTACTGTTGGATGGCACAGAGCCCTGACAGAACCCGACGCGATACCTCAAGCTCCGCCAGAACAGGAGACCGAAGACGATATTGTCTCCGACAGCGACGTGGAACCCGTCGCGAGTCCCACAAAAGCACGAGAGCCACGCCCGATTCCGATACCGACATCGACTCAAAGGCCAAGAATGGGACGCGCCCGTTCGACCGGGGCAACCGCAGAGATTGACGATGAAGACGAAGAGGGCTTCGAGGTCATGAAAGTGTCGGAGACAAAGGCAACTCAACGCAGGGTGCAAGCGAAGAACAAGGGAGGGCTTGTGGCCCTGCCACGCGACTGGACAGATCCAAATATGCCGCTGAAGCTTACTTCTTTGCGGTCCATCCCAAACTTGCCCTACAAGCAAAACTGGTCTGTCAACGTTCTCGCCGTCGTCGCATCTCTATCCGAAGTCGAGCCGTCCCATATGCCACCGCACCACACACAAAGAACTGCCCGGCTCGTCGACCCGAGCACCAGCAAACAAGTCATCTTAACCGTCTTTCTCGATGCCGAGGCCTTCACCCCCAAGGTAGGGAGTGTTGTACTCCTCGTCGGAGTCAAGAATCACCGATTTGATGGTGGTTGCCTCAAGAAATATGTCAGCGACAAGCCAAATCCCGGCAATCGGTGGTGGTTCGAGGAACCGCAGCAGTTTGACTGGTGCGACGTTGACGCCCTGAAGCAATGGTGGGAGCAGTCGGGTCTACAAGGAATGGCACTCGACGGCGCATGACTCGGAACAACACATTCAATCCATACAGATGATGCCGAATGACACGTACATGAACGTCAGGAACGTCAAAGTCTTTGTATCGGTTTCAGACGCTACATTGTATGACCTTGCTTGGCTACAGGCTGGAGTTGTGCCCGGCGCATCCGCTACCTGAGGCTGGTACCATGCCAACATGAAGTAGGTTCAGGAAGAACGCTGCAACTGCCTGTCTATTTCTCACCGGAAGGGCGTCCCTCCTTCTTGCCCTCTATTCGACACCCCATGCGCCGAGAACATTCTGTCTTCCTCCGGTCGGCCCTTTCTCACTGAGTGACTCAAGCCGCTTTACCCGGTTCACCAGCAGACCGACGCAAATTGGTCCTATGATGGTGCAGAGAGTAATCGCCCACGTCACGATCAAGAACATCTCCGAAGGCTGATCGGGTGCGTCTGATCCGCCGCTGAAGATGCCTGTACTTTCGGCCAATGCAGATATCAAGTAGCCAATCTCACCACGGGCGACCATTGCGAAGGCGAGGATGCATGCCGGGTAAACGGATACGGGCATCTCCGGCTTCGGAGAAGCATTCTTTGGAGTATTCCCGGCTTGTCGCGGCTCGATCTGATTGAGACGCATGTCTTCCGTGTGGACTTCATGCAGACTGTGTTGCCGCTCTTGCTCCTGCTGCGGCTGCCGTTGCGGCCGATCCTCTTCTTTGTTCGCCGCCGCATCTGATTCAGTCCCCGCACATTGCGTACCGGGAGCTAACTTCTTCGACTGCTTTCTCCCCGCACCAGAGACCTTCTTGGCGATCCGCTGCACGGCCTGGAGCGGACTGGCGAAAGACAACAGCCAGACGCCGCAGATCAGCTTGCCAGCCATCATTAAGATGGTATAGACGAGTCCACGCCAAGCAATAGGGCCGGAGAACATTCTCGTTATTGGTACAGAGAACCCGATGGAGGCCTATTGAGATTAGCGCGTGGTGTTAATACAATAGTGGTTTAGCTTGCGGACTTACGAAGAAGAACGGTTTCAGGACGCGCTCAACAGCCTTGCTGTAGTGATGTTCGTAGATCTCAATGCCAGAGTTGTAGACATTGGTTTCAACACTGTTAGAGCTCGGAACGGCCGCAGCTGAGCTTTCGGAATTCGGATGTCTTGAAGTATCCGCGTCGACACCTTTCTGGTCGGACGGAGCAGCTGCGCATTCACCTCTGATCGCCTTCTGCTTGCCCTTGTTGCGGGATGGAAGATGAGGCACTTCGCTGTCCCACCAATTGATGGTAGCACCCGCAATATATGCCGCAAGCAAGGTCGAAGTCCCGGCAAAGGCCCCTCCTACGATGAGCCCAAACAGCCAACACGTATGAACGACGAGAGCCGTCTGTCGTAAGCGAAGAAGCTGATCGAGTTTCGACCCAGGATTCTTCTCCCGTCGCGCATTCAGACGTAGCGTAATCGGCTCCACGACGAGCTTACACGCCGCCGGTACGACGATCGCGAAACCCAGAGAGACGAGAATCGGCCGGACCACAGTCACGGCATTAAAAGTATCGCCGCTGCCGCCACCCCCGAGGTTCGACACGACCTGGACCATGATGAGGCCTACGACGTCGTCCATCATGGCGGCGCTGGTCAAGACAACGCCCATGCGGGTTGTTGTGAGACCGCTCGTGCCTAGGACAGTGAATGTAGTTCCTAGGCTAGTCGAGCAGAGCGCTGCTCCGGCGGCGAAGGCCTGTAGTAGTGAGGCGCCGATGAGGGAGCTCAGGGTGAAGGAGAGGCCCATTGGGACAGCGATGCCGGTGACGGCGACGCCGATTGAGAGTAGCAAGTTGGCTTTGAGGGATTTGAAAGATGTGGAGAGACCTCCTGGGCACCGAGAGTTAGTTTCTCTTTGGAAATAGGATTGTGTGTGAAGAATTTTACCTTCATAGACGATCAGGATCAGGCCGAGATATCCTAGCTGCACTACCGAGTGCTCCATCTCTTTGGAGAGCCATTTTGCCCCGGGGGTTCCCCAGGCGATGCCGAGGAATACTTGGCCGATCAAGCCGCAGTACACTATCTTGTCGAGAGTGTAGTTTATGGTATTGAGTAGTAGAAGGAAAACGGAGAGGATGGCGATTGTCGTGATGGATGGCTCGTGATAGGCCAGCGATGATTCTGTTGCAGCCATGGTTGCGGTGATGATCAGAGATCAGGCGTGGTTTTGGATGGGACGACAATCTTCAAGGCTTGAAGAACGTCCATATCAAGAATGGCAGCTGGTTTTACCCTCCGGTTTGAGACCCTACTGCATATATCCCGTGCGTGATTATCGTCACGATTGATAGTTGCAGTCAAAAAATTGACGCAGTTCTTGGCGATGATTCTCAAACTCTCCCATCCCCTACACATTTGCTGACTCAGTGACAACCCTTGGCGCATTGACGTCATGCTTTCCGAAGAAGGCACATTGGGCAATGTGTTTGAATGATAGCAAGTCGTCCGTCAAGCACATGAATGCAACGAAAACTTTTGGTGATTGTGATTTCAACATTCAAACAGACTGTTCCAGCCAGGGTAATTATAAGGACGAAATGAAAACCACAATAACATAAAACCGCCTAATCCTTCACACCTCCAACCATGTCAAATGTTGAGGAGAAAATTCCCAGCTTAGACCTGCTGCCAGCTGCCAAGTGTCGTGTTATTCACACCGTCACGGTGCGCATTTCCCAATCTCGCTCCCACGAACAAACCATCAAGCTCGTTGTGGTGAGCTCGCTGAATGATTCCCCAATCAGCCTAACGGCGGCCCGTGACCAAGCTCAGAAAACATGGTCCCCGCTCCGCCTGACCTTCGTAGCCTTGCCGGGAGCGGTGGAGTTCTGCATGGCGGGCGGCGGGTTGGCGGGCGGGTTCGCGGGTGGCGGGTTCGCTCCGCCGCGGTTGAGACACGATTCGTTGTCCGGGTTCGCGATGTTGATGGGCACCTGCAAGACCTGGCTAATCAAGATGAAGTCCGGGTTGGCGATGTTGTTGAGCTTGGCGATGTTGCAGATTCCCGAGTTGAGGAGGCGGGCGATCTGGCCTAGGGTGTCACCACCAATTACGGTCAGGGTGATGTTGCGGCTTGCGTTGGGTATGCCGGCGCCGCCTGGGGGAATGCTGCAGCCGGGATTGCTTGGTACAGGGGGCGGTGGCGTCGTTGCTTGTCGTCTTGTCGGGGGCGGCCCGGAGCGTGTTGGTTCAGAGCGGGAGGAGAGGAGGTGGGAGAGGCCGCGGGTGATGATGCCTCGGGGGTCTGTTTGGGCGTCTGGTTGAGATATCGGGTTGGCTTGGACGATGCTGGCTAGGCCGGCTAGGGCGAGGTAGAGGGTTGAGGAGCGCATGGTGACGATGGATGCTGGCTGCTGACTTGTGTCGATATGTGTAGAGAAAGAGAAAGAGAATGAAAGAGCTGTGACAGACTGTTCGTCGACCGAACGAGTGGCAGAATCGACAACGTGCACAAAAACCTACGCCTACTAGGTGTGGGATGTCGGGGGGATATATGTGACTGAAAGAGCGTCTGGTTTGGGAACAGGGAGACTGTGGACAGAAAAAGAATGGCTTGGCCCGTAGAAGAAGTGAGACGGCCCCCTCCCCTCGTCTGTCAAGTCAACTTTATATCAAAGATGATACCGCTCCTGTATGCCCTTTTCCCAAAAGTCACCGGACGGCCTGGGGTCAAGTCCGCCAGTTGGCAAGACCCAGTGCGATTGGCCAGACATGAGAGTTCGAGGTTGAGCTGCCCACTCCGGCATGCTGCCAGATCCACCTCAATGTAACATGCTTAACAGACACTAAGCCCTGTCGCCCGCCCTAAGAGTCTTAGATGGAGCCGGTATAAGCGAAAGCCAGCGGGCAGAATGTGGGTTGCGAGGGTGGTAGCGTGGGAGCGTTGGCTTCGATGTTGTTGCGGAGGAGGGGAAGGGGATGCTAAACAAAGGTCGCCCGTGAACGCCGCAGACAGCAAGTAGCCAAAAAGCTTAAAATATGGGGGGGGGGGGGAGTCTGGAAAGATGCGCGTCGTAATAGCGAGAAGGAGACACGCTGAAACGGGAGCCCAGCCCAGCGCGGGGGCTGCTCGAGTGTGTCAGGTTCTAGCTCAGTCCAAGACTTCAAATCACGCAAAGCACTGGTTCTGCCGTGCTTCAGAGTTTGACAGGGAAGAGCTGCCGAGGATGGGACAGACGGACCCAGCAACTTGAGACGGCGTTAGCACCCGTTCTCAGACGGTTTCTCGCATGTTGTCGAACTCTATGCTACAGACGTCTTCAGAGATGACCACAAGAATCGCTGATTCTCGAGTCAGTCCCGGGGACGGGTGGGATAGAGCCCAACACAAGCTTTCTATTTAGCGCGCTGGATGTTGAGGTTCCCGGTTTGCTTGCTGTGATTTTCTTTAACGAGGTGATGCTTGCTTTCAATATTAGTTGAAGACACAGAGCTGTGACTGCGGATCTCCCTGTTTGTGCTTGTGAGAGATATATGCTTTTAGAATTTGATTGTTGCAAATGAAGGCCAATGACAAAATGCCATTCCTTCTAGAAGTTCCAGCAAGGGCGCAATTGTTCCGACGCATGGCACTGCCACTCAGCAAACTGGGATGATTTGCGAAAAATGAACAGACGAACTAGTGTAGAGCCCGTTTTGGTGGGCACCCACGAGACGGGACCCGAATCCGATTTACGCCAGGGAACACGTCTTACAAATTTTAAACCCCTAAGCCACACCCAGATGACTCTTGCATATTTAGCCAAGCAGAGGTCGGTCGACCTGATTTGTCTTTTACAAAAGTGGTGTCTCTGTGAATTTCGGAACTCACTCCCATTTTCCACGTATCCATCGTGATGAAACTGGCATTTGGAAGACTTCAGGAAGCATGAAGATTGGAGCATCATGAGGCGAGCGACTGCGCCTACCGGGCTTTTCGCATAAGAAATATGATGAGAGATCGGGGAATTCTACGGCTGACAATTGTCTGGAGTGAATCAATCGTCAGAGCCAACTCTCCTGTGAAGACAGGAGCCCTCTGCCGCACTCCCTGACGGTAAAGGCCTTGTGTTTGCGAATCTAATTTTTCAAACTAGGTATCATGCCGGTAAGGGCGCCGAGAGGCATTCCGCAATTAGACCGCTACATGTATCAGGTGAAACCGCTCTTCTTGAAGCCGAATGTGAGTGTGATTTGGTGGCAGCCCTTGGGTGCAAAGCTGAATGAGGCGAGCTACCAAAGTGATGCACCTTTTCAGCAAGCACTAATATAAACACAAAGTCCAAAGAGGGTCATAATCTCCAGCTTGGTGACCATATAATCTTCGTCTCGATTGCAAAAGCACATGCACCGAAACAAAACCTGGCATTGTTGCCCCAAGATGGTCTAAGGGAGAAAGAAATGGCGGACAGCACCGCAGTGATATGCTTAGTACCTATGCTTACCTTATGTTGACTTTGCCTTGGTTTTGACTTTTGTGACCGGCTCCAGAAACATGCCGTGTTTGATCACCCGGAACACTTTCTATTTGCATGGAATGACTACCTAGTCGAGGTGTAATCTTGACAAGGTTAGAGGAGTCGACGGTCTATCTCTCCTCATGACTATCGTGGGAAGCCGTACCAGTACGGAGACGACGTATGTGTCAATGATATGAATTGGGCGTTTTAACTACCCCAGGCGTAAGCCTCCAAGTTCTTGACATAAGCGACTTGGGGTTGTGATCTAGAGCAATAGGATTCGAACCTGCATTGCTTGTTAAACGAGTGGCTTCCGATCTGTCCCAGATTTTATCACACCTGCTACAATAAAGATTTCATACTCATCAACTAGCTGTGTGATGAATGATTCTGACTAGACTATACTTCCCCTCTATTTGTCATAAAGAATAAGTCTGTCTAAATACTGTATCATAACTAGATACAAAATAGGCGCCATGTGTACATCAATTCTTTAGTCTTCTATTCTCTTTGAAAAGCCTGAGTACGTGCCAAAAAAAAAAAAAAGAAAAAGGGTCTGATTATGTACTAGATTTACTCTATTATCTTGGATTTCATAAAGATGACCTGCCCCTGACATGGTAATCAATGGCTCCAGCTACTTTGAAAGAAAACTGATAGTAGGGTATATAGCGTTCCGAGCGCCGTTCAAGTCGTGGCTCAAGGTGAGTACCTACCCGCCTGATCCAGTCTCAACTACCCGATAGCCACCCCGGTTATGCCAAACGCCACGATAGTTGTGATATACCTCGTGCTGGGCATTTGATACAAAGGCTCGTCTCCTTTCGTTAATCAAGGGCTACTTTCCAAATTATATACATGTACCTATTCAGGATGCAATATTGCTCCGCTTTCGACTTCCAGAGAAAACCTTCTCTCCGCCCTCAGGCGTCGGTAATATCATCCAACTCATGCTGATCCATAAACTCAGCCATGTTCTTTTCTACCATCGGCGCCTCGTAGAACTCGTCCCCAATCGCACGCAGCTTGGCCGCCAGCGCCTCGCTCGGCTCCCAGTCCAGGTACAACTTGACTAGCTGGCGCGTGACGCCTCGGTTGCAGTGCGGACACAGCATCCTCGGCGGGTGCTTTGGCGCCGTGCGGCAGGGCGCAAAGTACGCGACGCACATCCAGATGGGCTCGTCGTCTTCGGCCTCGTACTCGAGCTGGAAGTTCAACGCCGCCGAGGTGAGCTTGGGCATCACGCTCAGCGCGTCGGCGTAGGCGTCGATAAAGGGTGCCATCTGGCCGTCGTCGGGCTTGCATCGGAAGACCTCGGCCGGGGTCATACGAGCGTACGCCGCCTCCTCTACGAAGCTAAACTCCTCGTTGTGCAGATCCGAGTGGGCGTTGTTTGTGCTGGACCGGTGGTTGTAAGGTCGGTGGTCAGGGCTACCGTCTGACTTTATGAAGTACCAAGTTCCTGAAGGGCTAGTAGCGTGCATGTTGATGTCGAGAAATCTGAGGTTTGGCCATGTTGTCTTGTTCAAACCCTGCATTGGCCGGAGGAGGGAGTGGTCAAAGGCCCCGGTGACACTCAGGTCTACAAGGTTTTCTGAAAATACGCAGAGAGCCGAGCTCAGCGGGTCTGGGATGCCAGGCTCATGCAAGGCTGGTGGCCTTGCCCTTTCGTTCCGGTATCTTCTTTGGAAGAATTCGAACTCGGCTTTCCTCAGTGCTGGTAATGACAGCTCTTGAATAGCCTGTGCCGCTTCATTCCGGTTACGAATTCGAATGTCGCCAAACCTTTTCTCGTCGTCGTCCATGAAAAGCTTCAAGCGTTCGAGATTCGGCATCTTGGAAGCAAGGATAATAGGCACCTTGGGGTAGGTGTTACGGCGACCGTACCTCCCCTCTTGATGCATCATCACGAGCTGTTTGACTCTGGCGAGGCTTGGGAGAAGTTGGCAATCTCTTAGCTCGATGAAAGAATGCAAGTACCGGCCCTCATAAATTCCCTCCTCCTCGGGATAGATTTCACCCCATGGGACGTACTTGGTCGGCCATGGCCTGTCAGAAGGTGATTCTGGGTGATTTATGAGTAATGCAAGGCGACAGCTTATTGACTCCGGATCTTGGTCTTCCCACCCACGAAGGATTTCGAATAGCGATTTGATTCCATTGCTATAGCTCTTATCATTGACAAGTCGTTCTTCAGGCGATTCAGCTCTGTGACTTGCAGCTTCGTCGTAAGCCGGAAGAATGATGGTAACGATCAAGCTGGTAAGATGATACCGCCTCGCCGGAGTGAGAAGCTCGGTGAACCTCGGAAATTCGTCGCTGGTAATTTTGAGAGATCTGAACGTAGCTCTCTCCACGGCGGCTTGTAGCCGACGCGAGACTGTGGCTATCAGGGCCAGTGGCCGAATTGGTCGCACACGCGTGTCGTAAGGTTGTATTGGTGTGGGGTGCTGCTGTGGTACTAAGTAAGAGATGATGTCATCAACTATATCCTGCGGAAGAGTCTCCATGTTGGCGTGGGTGAGTATATCAACCCATCGATGGGGAGATCAATTTGAGGTTGTCATGGCTCTAGTGGAATGCAAACCTAGTCAACCCCTCCCTAGCGGCCAAGACCCGATATTCGATATTTCCTAGGCAGCAACAACTTAACCCGCGCTCCACCCAAAGAAGACCAGTGTTGAGACGAGAGCTAGTCCCTATTGGGTTAGCTCAAAGATCTTGCCTACTCCGATACTAACTCTCATGAGGGTTTTTTTCCGGCTTGACTGGCTTTGGGGATCAACCTGCGAAGCTCTTAAGCTAATACAAGGAGTGAGTAGAAATTATTTTGTCAATTTTCATAATAGTTTCACTCGTAATTCTTCAATTAGAGACTGCGAGGGGCCCCTTCACCCTTTTCCCCCAGTTCACCGGCCGTAAAATTTGAGGTAGGAAATGTGTCTCGTTCACAGGTTTCAAAATTTTGAATGTGCCCCCTCTGTTCCATGATGAAGGCGACTAATGAAGGATGTCTCGCATATTCAGCTGCATCGATTGATATATTTCCCTCAGAGGACATGGATGCGGAATATGAATTCGAGTCAGTATGTCGGCATGGTCTACACTCAAGTCCACCCAGAGCGGCGGGCCGTACCGCAACCGAGGCCCACCGAAGTGACGCATGGTGGTCCAGGCTCTTCGTCTGTCACAAACTTCCGCTGCTGTGTCCAGCTATCTCGAATCGAGATGTATTTGGCAACACTGACACCCAGGCGACATAAACGCTATCGTAAACCAGCTCTTCTAACGATGGGCTTCAATATAGCGTGGAACACCCGTCAGACTGGTTGGGTTATGCGCACTCTTAAAAGTAGGTATCAAAAGCTTCCGTCAGACTCTCCGTAAGGTAAACTCTTATTTGTAGCCATTGTACATAGTGAACTGTGAGATAGCGCTACACTTAGTCGGAATCGTCTCCGAGTTGCTCATCCTCGCCACCAGTGGATCCGGCGAATGCTCCAGTAGCCTTGCTGAAGGCAGCTTCGCGTCTCTTCTCCAGTGCCTCAGCATCGCCCTTGACACTTGCGGGAGCCTTGGCAATCATGACCGCCGAGAGCTCCTTGCCTGCTGCCTCGGTCTTGGCAACGTTCTTCTTCACGAGACCACCGACCTTCAAGCTCTCGAAACGGGCCTGGTTCGACACCATGGCGCTCAGTTGGGTCTCGGTCAAGTCGACGATGGTGCTCATCTGTCCCAAAAGTTTCTTCGCTTCATCTTCGGAGGGGTCAAAGTTCTATTTTTGGTTCGAGTGTCAGTCCCAACCGTTGCGTGACAGAACCCCAGGGGTACTGAAAACTCACCGAGTAGTCCTTGATGCCCTTGTTGATCGTGCTGACGATTGAATTTGACTTGGAGCCCAGCTTGATGGCATCCTTGTAGTTGATGTCGTTGCCCTTTCCGAGAATCTTGATGGACTTGTTGACCTTGCGCTCGATGTCGCTCAAGCTCTTAGTAAGATCGGCGAAAGACATTGTGCTAATTGTGCGTTGACTGTTGTCGGGAATTGCTAATGGTAGTTACGTTGGTGAAATGTATTTCTGTTATCATGAGATGATGATGAAGGCACTCCAGTATGATTCAAGGTGAATCTGAAGCCTTTTTATCATCCGTAGAATCAAATCATCGTGATTCACATGCCGTTGTTTACCTCGGACCACATACACCTCTGTCCGTCCAAAAAGTAGCTGACCCCTAGAGCATGAACCAAACACATCTGGGGGAGCCCTGAGCTATGACGTGTCTAGAGAACCTCAGCTTCAAGCGCCCGGCGATTTGGGAGCTGTGGCCCATGTTCTGGCCTCGAAACATGAAACGATGCGGAGGCCGCCCAGCGATCCTCCGCCTCTAATGAGCCCCCCGACAGAACCCAGGGAAGCCTTTTTGATGGGTTCCTTTCTGACGAGGCGTCCCGAAAAACAGGTTCGAGCAAGAAACTCATGTCCCTCTCCCGAAAACGATTATGCATAGGGAAGTGTAATGTGTAGCAGGTGCAGGGAAGACACTAGGCAAGGATTCGTCGATTATTCGGCCGGCGGTCGACATGCATCGCACACACGGCCGGCGATCGCAGCAATAGTCTTTGCCAACTATTATGAGAAAACATACCCAATCCTACCCCACTGTTATCCCGGCGCCGACAATTGGTCAAATCACACTAGGTCGTACAGCCTTGTTGTTCTTGGCATGAATTGTTAGTAGCAAGCTTCCTTGGCTGCAGTGGGGCCGGGGCGTTTCTCTCTGTAACCACGTCCTCACTGCCTCGGTCCGTTGGGGGTGATTCACGTGGTTTCGTAACTCAAATCCGCACGAATCCAAGTAAATTGCACCACGTGCTCGCCGACGGTATGTTCCAAAGTCCAGCTCAGCTTGACAATAGACAAGGCATAATGCTGGAGTAGCGCCTGACTTGAGCAGCGTATCAGCATGCAATGATGCATTTTCCCGGCTGCTTGCGCTGTGGATAAAAGCTTCAGTGGTTTTTTTAAGTTGCTGGTCTGTTGTTCCGAGTCCGAATCCGAGGTTTGTGACACAATCCGCCCAACTCGAGCCGTGTCAAAGGCTCCGGCAGCGGCAACTTAAGTGCATGCCTAACATATATATTCAGCTATTGGGCCAGATCCGTCAGAAGCTAAGAAATAAGAGCACCCGAAAAATTTAAACGAATTAGAAAAGAGGCATAGAAGAGAATTATAGAGAGCTAGTAAAATTGTCTTCAATCTACTTTGTCGAACAAGTCAGTTACAAATAAAGATATAAGCAGCTCAGCAGATATATGAACACAAGTACAACACTAAAATTATCTCGCCCTGGGCATGTTACATGAGTTGTCTACGAGAGGGAAGATGAGTAGGGTTGAGAATAGGTCTTCGAGACTTCAAATGCCCAGTTAAACTTGCCGCGACTTTCTCAAATCCAGGTACTGGGAAGCGTGTCAGTGAATGATGGGGATTGCAGGGATAAGATGATTACTGGCAACTAGAAGTCTAAGACTAATAGCAGGTAACTTAGTTGAAGAGTGTGCTGAGTGACAGTCGGTCGAGCTGTACTTCTAGTGGGTCAGAGTGATTGCTCAATGAGGGCTTGAGACCGAGGTCAGATATCTAAGCTTACCTTAAGCTGCCTTTCCATCCAAAGTTTACCGCCCAGTGAGAGACATAAGTAACTTTGGCTTGATGTATTCACTAGTTTAGTCTCTTAGTAGGTTACTGTGCGGTCATACACAACCTCAATATTATGGAAACTTATTAGTCAATTTCAACATGACAGCCCTCTACCATGAGGACATTATGCGACTGAATCCTTACTGTCGGTTGAGTTGAGGACTGAAAGATGAGCCATAGCATAGTTGCCATTGTAATGCAATCGAAGAAACAATTCTTGCTGATTGGAGTGTGCCCAAAGCTTTGACTTTGAGGTGCAATTGACATGCTCAGGTGGAGATCGTTAATTATAGGCACAATAGTACATGGAACCGTAAATTCGTCAAGGTATGTGTGTAGAGTCTTTCCTCCCCTTTCAGTGATTTCCCGCGATTCCCCGCAGTCAAGCAAGCACAGTGCTGGCCCGCAGCGTCATCCGTTTCCGTACCTGCGATGCGAGGGCCCATAGTGGGGTGATGACCGGGACCGGCCTTCTTCATGGTCCATCGGATGCCGGAGATTGGAGCACGTGCAGGAAGATGGTGGGGGACGGCAGCGAACGCCGGTTTAATTTGGCCGGCCAAGCCAAGTCAACGTCTCGTTGCTTGGAACGATCCAGTCGGCTTGCCTGGCGATTCCTTTGTCAATGCCTAATAACTTGTCCAGCGTTCCTTTCCCGGACCAGTTGTCAGCTGATGCAAAGCAAGTAGGATCATGATAATACTGCGAGGCCTAAGTCGGATTTCTATTGAGCTACAGCCATACCAGACACCTACGCGGATGGGAAGGCTGCTCTGAACACGCAATTACTACATCGCCTATATCCCAGTCGAAAAGCAACTGGAGCGTGCCGGCATAGGCCTGGAAGGGGCAAAGGCCCACAGGTTGTGATAGTTCAGGACGCGAGGTGAAGGCGAAAAACCTAACCCAACCTCGATGCGAGAAAATTGGCATTGTGAGGAGGTCAGACACAGCCTCATGAATTGCATCAGCACATCACTACCCTAATTGTTGATTCTGAAAAGCACTTCAGATGTGACGGACAACATTCCATTGCAAATCAAAAACCCGTGTCAAACTCGTAGCCACGTCCGTAATCTTTTCAGCGCTAAACACCTTTGTTGGTTTACGTATCACAGGGTGATTTGTTCGATTGAACCGTGGTGACGAAGGGTCAATTAACTTGTATTGATCTCTGCGTGAAGAGGAAAAGAGAGGTTCCAACCGTGGGTTGGATCGCCGGTTGAACGCTGATATAGAGACCCTCAGGTGGCCCCTGCGCCGGCACTGACTCGAGGTCGAATTGGGCTTCCAATCCGACAATATTATTCGGTGCATTGGAAAGCGTCAGTGAAAGTCGGCAAAGAGGTCACCGGTCATTCGCGGTAAAATTGAACTTGGGTGTCTTTCTTAAAGAAGGGATATCTTTTCATTGTCATAAGATTTGTTACGCTCCAAGCCGACTACTTTGAGTAGTGGCATCTCCAATATCAATATTATCACACATTATGTACTAATTTTAAACAAAACACGCAGACATGTTACTGCCTCTCTTGATCTACCAGTGGGTAGGGCCGATGGTAGAACCATCGTCGGGCAAAATCTTTGTGACGGCAGCACCGTTCGCGTCGAGGTTCTGTCAGAAGAGTTAGTATACACAACGAAATCGGAAAGGGAACTCATGAAGAGGAGCTTCAAGTCCAACGGGACGGAAGGAAGTTGGCTTACGTTGTTCTGTTTCGAAAATGTTAGCATGTGAACCACAATAGAAAGGGGGAAGGCAAGCGATTCGTACAAATACAGTGTTACCCCACCAATCAGGGAAGTTGGTGTTGGAAAGACCCAGAGCAAGGCCAGAGATGACGATGCAAAGAGCAGTGCCGATATCGAGGGCTCCGGAGAGGAGGTAGTTGTAGCGAGCTGAGGAACAGGTTAGCACAACGTGATATCCAAGACTAGTTAATTTGGGAAATAGACTTACTCCACCAGCCGAAGTAGCGGCCGCGGATCCACCAGTTGAAGATGAGACCGACAATAACCCATTGGCCCAACCACCAGGTGGTGGCAGGGGGAATGTTGCCAGCGGCACCGAAGATGGCAGGGAAGAAGACGTAGCGGAGGAAGCTGCGGGGGAAGCGGCGAGCAAGGAAGAACTGGATGACGGGCAAGGCGGCACCAATGAGCCAGAAGTAGTTGACCCAGGAGTAAAGCTGGCCGGCACCGAACATGCGGCGGGGTCCGATGACACCCCAAATGACACTGGCGTTGTAGAACGTGCGAGCGCCGGGGCAGGTGAGGCCCTGGGCCTGGTGGGGGGTGCAAATACCCTCAATGTTGCCACGGAGGAAGTTGTAGGAGGCGATCTGGACGAGGGACAGCCAGACGACGGCAAAGGTCTGGGCGGCGAACATGGTGCGGGGAGGGATCTTCATGTAGTGGCCAACCTTCATGTCAGAGACGTACTGCAGACCGTTGTAGCAGAGCATGTAGCCCCAGGACTTGAACAACATCATGGCGACGGGGCGGCCGGGGGACATGTAACCGATAATCATCTCAGTGATGACATTGAGACCGGTCTGCTGGTTGGTGACAGCCTGGATGATACCGACGGGGAGAATGAAGAAGGCGCCGATGATGATGCAAATGATGTAGGCCCACCAGGTCAAATGGGTACTCCAGACCTGGGAAGCGATCATGCCAAAGGCAAAGCTGATGCCGAACATGATCATGAACCACCACTCGGGGGCCTCCTTGTATCGGCGCATGAGCTTCAGGTGGATATCAGCCTCTTCGTTGGAGGCAGAGCGAGTGCGGTCGATAATGTCGCGGCCATAGAAGAGACCGACGTGAACGAGGGTGCTGATGAGACCAGCGAAGCCCATGCCGTAAGACAGAGAGAAGGCGGGACCCAGGATGAGAGGAGAGTAGTCCTTGTAGGCAGTCTCGTTGAAGGTGAATTCGGGAGTCAAGATGCGGCTGGTGTTGTAGGTCTGGGCGAAGTGGTCAAAGTTGGTGTTGGCGCTGATCGGGAGGTAGCGGTAGAAGTCGGGTCCGCCCCAGGCAAGACCGATGCAGCCAATCATCATGATGATGATGCCGGCACCGACGTTGGCAATGGCGAAAGCAGGAGTCTGCAGGGGGGAGAGCAAGAAACCGGAAACGGTACTCCAGTCGAAGGAGATGGGAATGAGACCGAGGCCGGTCTGACCACCGAAGACCTGGTTGACGACGACGTTGTTGGGGGCGATCCAGCAGACAAAAGTGAAGACCTGAAGGAACTGGGCAAACACCTCGGGAATCCACTCGTAGACAAAGGTAGCGGCAGCCACAAT